CCTCGGTGAAAAAGGTTTGGACACCCCTGCTCTAGATGGATCACCTATAACTTAAGACATTTCAATCAACAATGGCAGATTGGAATAACACACAAAGACGAATTAGACTCAGACATGTTCAGTCTTGCCTTTAATAGGCCCCAAAATTAATCCGGCAAATAAAAAGGTTGGCACGGCAAATAATGAGGTGTGAAAGTACCTGTAGTCAAAACCAGACCAACTGCTTTCAATAAGAAAGAAGGCATGATTTATACTGGCAGCTATATGCTGGTGATAGGGTGACTTTTAAATCTCTTAATGCGGCACATTGAAAATTGGTATAATTTGTGACACTAACAGCAGCAAGGTGGCACTTTAACCCTTAGATGCATAAGTGGGTCTTTTTGGACCCGGTGAGGTGGTTTTCTTGAAGTATCTTTGTAATTACATTTTTTTATCATTTCATATTCCAGCTATTCCTCAAAAAACATGTTTTGGATATCATGCCATTCACAATTATAATTTACATTTTAAGAAATTGTAGTTTTTGTATTACTACCCCAAGCTTCCATAAGTGGGTCAAAACTGACCCGCATGCATTTTCTATGGAATCCTATGGGAAAACGTTTTTTTTTCAAAATGTAAAAGAAATTTCTAAAATGATAAATAGTGAAAAATTAAATATAAAATATTTCTAGTGTGAACCAAAATATAATACTAAATATTATACAAGAGATTTTTCTTAACCAAAATGACAAAAATTGCATAAAAACACATATTATTCTAATACGGGTCCTTTTAGACCCACTTATGGAAGAGTGTAGGGTCCAGTCACTCGTGCATCTAAGGGTTAAGGAAGGAGACTGCCCTTCAGGATCCTGTAGTTAAAGATCCAACACTTCCCACCACACTGAACCCCTCCCAGCACGCTGATACTCACTTTTATGTCATACTTTTCTTTACTGCCGGGTTCTAGTACGTTGTTTTGGTACAAAAGTGCCTTGTACTATATTTAGGCTGTGCATTAGTAGTCTGTTCTCCCTTCCTTATGTCTGTCTTTGCTCATGTGGAGTCTCTCTTCTTTGAGTGACATTTAGCAGAACAAAACCAATAAAGCATTCTACTCTAAAGGGCCACAATGTGTTATTCTTAAGACAAAGACAACTCATTTCACAAGCAATATAACTTGTGCAATGACAAAAAAACAACTAAATGTGTTTTATTTAAATTAGACTATGGCAACACAAAAAAAGCCCAAAAGCCATATCTATAGAAATAACTACTATAACGTTTATATCTACATCAAGTCTGCATTAAGAGGTACGATGTAGGCCTGAAGGTAACAACTTATGCAACTGGATGCTTAGCGAAGCAAATCCAACCATCCCCACAGAGGGAGGACTTAGTGTTCCGTGGAAAATTCCAAGATCGGGTATGTTCTTGATTAAGGCGGTCTACTTCACATGAAATTGTGGAACCACCCCCAAAATGACTCAGCACTTTTTCTTTTTCTGTGTGGTGTGCCAGTGGGTTACATATATATCTCAATGAGATATTCATTCATGTCCAACTTTCTAGCAAAACATATCCATATTGTTAAATCTAATGCGACTGATGGGCCTGCATGCTGACAAGTATCCTGTTCATTCAAGAGTTCAGTCAGGCCCAATAGAAATACTGTAATGATGTGAAGTGCTATTTAAAAGGAAAGGACACCATTTGTTTGAACTCAGACTTCTCAAATAGAGCATGTTTATGTCTTCTTGTTTATTGCGATCATGAGAGAAAAAGTCCTTTCCTGCCGGGGTGTAGGGAAGACACACAAACACCCAGTGAACCAACAGACCACAAACTTTTAATCTCCACAGGGAGATCCGTGGTAATGCTCCCTAAACTCTTTGTTGGTACAGCTTCAGCATCCGGGTTAATTTATTGCGTCACTACCAAACACACTTGCGTAACAGCCACCGCCGCTCTGTTGTGACAGATTCCAGGTGACAGACACAAAGACACAAAGTCATGATCATTTTAACTCCCACCTACCAGCTTTCTATCACCATGTTTTTATTTTTTTACTTTTTGGTCATGCAAACAAATTGGATTAAAAAACCTTTGAAGTAGTCCTTTGGAAACAACTTTTTTTTCATGATTTGAACTGGAGATGAAACTCCTTCAGAACTGTGTCCTACAACAAACATGTGCACAATAGCACAGTTAACTGTAACAGATACAATCAGAGAGAATGGCATTGCTTATAATGTTGGACAACAATTATTTTATATTTTATCTGCATTCTAGTATTCAGCTACAATTTCACTTACCTACAACTGTATTTTTGGTGGTAATATTCATTAAATTATTTGCATGGCACACTTTTTCCATATTTCTAGAGTAACATAATGATATTTACTTGTATGTGTGTGATTTGCTGTGTGGGAAACCCTGATATGAGTTACATCTGCTTTTAAAACACGGCTTTGTGTTGTGATTTAGTAAGTGTCCTGTTTCAATCTGCTCTCCTGGGAAAATGCACAGGGAGCACGGTCCATTTAATTACGCCATGAGTCTCACGAGAACCTCTCAATTACTTTACACATGCACTGTCTGTCTGTAAAAGAGACTAAACAAGACTGTAAAAAAGACTTGACTGGATTTGCTCCAATTTGTGATGAACAGTTTAAGAAAACATGGCCTGTTATGAGAAAACAAAATAGTACTGATTATACCCTGTAGTAGATAGTAAGTACAATTACTAAAGTACTGTAGGTAACTAAAATGTTGAGGTATTTGTAATTTACATGGATACTTTTATGCTTTTCTGCTATTTTATACTTCTTCTCCACACTTTTTACCCCACTACATTAATTTGACAACTGAAATGACTTGCAGATTCAGATTAATACAGTAGTACAACATATCACTAACAAATAGATCATAATGTACTATTACAGACCAAATGTATTAATTCATGGGGAGACATTCACAAGCTACAGCAGAATATTAGGAATTAAAATGAGCCACGCATTTAGCTGCAATAAAGTGAAGAACACTTAAATACATCACTAATTCTAATACAATATGCACTATTTCTAACAGGCCATTATGCATTATAAGTACTTTTACTTTTGTTAGTCTGAGTCTATTTTTATTTGGACTCATTTTAACACAATATTTCTACAATGGTTTTTACTATTTTTACTTTAGTAAAATATTAAAATAGTCAAATTCTTTAACTACTTTATTATAATACCAGTTCATGGTCAGTAAGTGCATCCTGAATGCAACATGTGTCTGACTGGTCCCATATCACCAATAGGAAAGGGATGGGACGCCACCTACTGACAAGAAGCCCAAATGCAACTTATTTATCATCCAAAGAGCTGCATGTTTTGTTCTCAAAACCAGTCACACCAAATTAAAACCATTCCCCATTTTGGGTTTTGAATCCCTATCTCTGGACTCATACAATAGCCTTTAAAAAAATTACAATATCTAGTTTAAAACAAAAACACTCTGTTTCCCCGAATAGACACGTTATGTTAGCATGTTAGCTGATACACTTATTTCCATTTCAAATATTAAATTGAGAACATTCTGTTGTTATAATACAACACTCATGTTTACAATGAGATGTATTCTAAGAAAAAATTTCCTCAGAGGTGTTTTGAACAGAGCCGGTTATTTTCCACAGTCTGTTCGCGAAACATTAAAAACATGCAAACAGCGACATGGTGTGGCCGAATTAGGAAAGTACACATTGACTGAAAATAGAAATGAAAGCTGACAGGCATCATTAGTGAATACTGAGTTTCTTCATCACTGTTAATAGCAATGTTCACCTTTAAATGGTACCTTTTGATTTGTATAACTACTAACTTTTCTGACACATTTGTTTAGCAATGTAACTTACATATAAGATATTTCTGATATTTGTTTAATAGGCTGAATTCATTACCCCACGTCTGGCCTTGTCACCTGATAGTTCATCAAAATATAAATGCGCGGCCCACCTGGAACAACGTGGATGTTTTAAACATTGTTTTTATAACGACTCTCATATGTAAGTATACTTTTTAAAGTGTAAGAGTTGTCAGGAATACAAGAACCCCACTACACACCCTATAGTTCTTAAAGTAACCTAAAATGTAGCATACATGTTCCTCGAATATGCTATCTTATTTTGGCTAGCACTTGTTTTGTGTCGCGACATGCTGACGGCAATATGAAGTCCTTCCCTCAACGGGCGGTAAACTACTGAAAGGTAAGCTGAGCCAGGCTGTCGGAATATCTTTGCTGTTGTAATGCTGACTGGTAGGATAGATGCCGACCATGCTGACCCAGAGACGGCTGTAGCCAGGACTCCGCCCGTTAACACCCCGGTACATCTCCATGTTACTCTAGACCCGGAGCCAGTGTAACTCTGAGGCATCCCCTGGACCTGACCTGCTGCTCGGAAGGACAGTGCGTGAGTAGCTCAGTGAAATGTTTTATATTCATGAAGTTAACTTTGATTTGTATGTCTGAGATTAAGAAAACCTGTTGAGTAAAATACTGTATGTGGATGCTTGGAAAGTCATTTAGCTGTCAGATGCAAGGTTATGTGAAGGATAAACCCAAGGTCCTTGTGAATGTAGCAAAACAATTGTTGTAAACAGGCTTGTTTGGGGATTTATGTATAAAATATATGTGAACATTTGTATATGATCATTTATATTCATTAAGAAGAAGGAACTATTATATTCAGCCTGAATGAGATGGTAATAACTTGCTTTGTACATTTTATTTTTCAGGAGGCATAGTGTTTAGAAGTCAGCTTAAAACACATGCAGATTAATTTGTGTTCCACTCCACAAGTGACCACGGCTGATGAAATCTCCCCACGACTGTCTGGCATGGCAGTTGTAGAAAAGAGGAGTAACAGGGAGCACCAAGAAAAGCACTGTGTCTCTCTCCCAGAGGGACAGGTCTTAGTTAACACTCACCATGTGAAGCCTGACTCTTCATTTGGCGGCATTTGGGCTATGAATTCCCTCTCGGAGAGCAGTGACACTGGAATTCTTTATCTGAACCCTCAAACACCAAAGTGGTCCTTGGTGGAGAAGTTTGCAGAGCTTTCAAAGGGAGATGAATCATTTAAAGATGCTCCAGACCACCAAACTCGAGGATTGTTACAACGCACTAAACAAATTGAGAAAAATGTGATTTATGGATCTAATGAAACGCTCCTGGATCCTGTCCAAAAGAAGGAAAGCTCTAAATACCTCAGGAGCCATAGGATAAGTAGTGCTGCAGAGGAACAAAAGACATCTAAACTCAAAGAGCTAAATGTTGTTGGAAATGAGATTAACAAGAAGAATGTAAATAAGAAATTACTCAAAAAGTGTGACGGAGACAAGATCCCTCGACTTTTGGTGGCGATGAAGAAACGCGGTGAGGTTGACAAAGAGCACCGTCCCTTCAAGTGCCCACACTGTGACTGGGCTTTTAAAAAGCTCTGCAACCTACAAAGTCACCTGCAAACTCACAGTGGCCTCAAGCCACACGTGTGCGATATATGTGGCAAGGCTTACTCCCACCAGGGCACTCTGCAGCAGCACAAGCGTCTGCACACGGGGGAAAGACCATACCACTGCCCCTTCTGTGTCAAGACCTACATCTGGTCCTCAGATTACCGCAAGCATATCCGCACACACACAGGTGAAAAGCCCTACGTCTGTGACACTTGTGGGAAGGATTTCATTCGATCCTCTGACCTGAGAAAGCATGAGCGGAACATGCATACCAATGACAAGCCTTTCCCCTGCACGCACTGTGGCAAGACCTTCAATAAACCCCTCTCCCTGAAGCGCCATGAGCGCAAGCACCTGGGAGAAAGGCCCTTCTCCTGCCCCGACTGTGGGAAGGCCTTCGCTCTGGCCAGCCGTATGGCAGAGCACCAGAAGATCCACGCGGGCATTCGTCCTTACATCTGCTCCGTGTGCTCCAAGTGCTTCACCAAGTCTTCCAACCTGAGCGAGCACGAGGCCATTCACAGCGGAGCGCGGCCCCACAAGTGCCCAGAGTGCGGCGTGGCGTTTGCCATGGCTTCTCGCCTCGTCCGTCACCAGTACGTCCACAGCAAAGAGGAATCCCACAACTGCACAGGCTGTAGCAAGAACTTTAGCCACCTAGCCTCACTGAAGCTTCACCAGGAGCAAACCTGTGCCGGCAGGATCTTTGTCTGTGTGGAGTGCGACAAGTCTTTCCAGTGTGCAGCAAAGCTCTCACAGCATATGCTGCACCACAGGGAGCAGAATGTCTGAATGAGTTTAAAGACAGGTTTTGGACACCTCCACCACCGTGCCAATACTATTGACTGTCACCGAGCACCCATTTTTATGTCAGGGGGCTAGTTTGGATTGTTTGAAGTGAGGTTAGATGAGGTACTAGTCAGTGTTTTACATAAAGTAGATGACGGTTGGCATGCCCCAAGTTCTGAGAAACACTCGGGAGTTCCAGCACAGGAGCTAAGCAATGTATTGGACCGGGGGGCCTTAAGAGTTTTTACTCACACGCCCTCTTTCCCCACGGTGCTGGGTTCCCATGAGATGAACCTAGCAATTTCTCACGAACATTGACACTGGAGCTGATGGCCTAATAGTGTGATGTGACCATAAGTACTAGAGTTCCAGACTTTATAAAAGTGAGAATTAAATGTAAGGCTAATAGTTAAAAATATGCACAAAACCACAACTTTGCGTGTAGGAAATGCGGGCGGTTTATCATGACCTGTGCTGTAGTATGATGCCTTGGTCTTTCTGAATCTGGTGGTGAATCTATAACAGTAAGAATGGTTCTGAGCATTGCATTACTGAATATCAATCAAAGAGTGATTCACAAGATTTACATCAGTAACTAAAGTATCATTGACATTAGCCAGATTAGATGACAGCTTTGATCACCAGTATTGATGATGGTAGCCGGTACATTATGTTGTCCTGACAACTGGAGGGACAGCTTGATGTTCTCAGGCCACCATGAATAAAAAATAACAGCTACATCAACACTTATTCTCAGATGCAGTCTGTTTTATTGACTGGTGAGGGCTGAATGCTGAAACAAGCAGCAATATCTGAATAAAGGGCTATGGCATGGATATAGACCAGTCGTAACTCCTGAGACACATTACTGACCACATAAATAGACCAGGCTGCTATGTGAATTATCTGGTACTCGTGTTCCTTTTTTGTCTTTGGCACTATCTCCATAAAGGATAATTGTTAAATGGGTTGTCTTAGTTTCAGTATGCAGGTAATGCCAGGTGTAAATCTGTGGCTCTTTTTAATCACAATGCCAGACACAACAGGCATGCTTTGTTTGTAGGAGGTCTATCAATTCAAAGATATCCATTATACATGTGTTTATAAGCTGACACATTATTGGCAGGCGGTAAGAATGGCCTCACATCCTGGCTGCCCTGGATTCCCGGCCTCTGTGGCCCACTTACACTTGACTCCAACGACTAATAGTAAAAGGAGACGGCACCTGCTGTGTTGTCACTTGCTCTGCATTAAGTTTGAGGACACGTCTGGAATCACAACAGGATTGCAGTGATGTTTTTATTAAATATGTGACAGGCAGAAGTGCACTGATAAACAGGTAAATAATCCATGGCCTGTACAAAAGCATTGACATTCAGTAATACATAAAACACAGAGCCAAAGGACTCGAAGTAAAAAAATCAATTACATCCAGATATGTTTACATGGTGTCAATAATAAAAAGTTTGTTCTAAAATATTCCAAAGCATATATTACTGTTTGATTTATATACATTTTAAGGACACAAGCTTTGTCTTCTGAAAAACGTTAATAACGGCTAAAAATAAAGCTTGTTCTCAGAGGAAATATCAGCTCAATCCTATAATTGTCTCTTGGCTGGTGACAATTATAGGATTGAGCTGTTTACACCCCCTCCTCCAACATGTGGTATCATCCATCTTGGCAGCATGACAACTCTATTTTTGTTCTGTACTGTATATGTCATATATAATTCAAGCTATTCTGCTTTACAGATCCTTAACATGATCTAATAATGTTCATACATACATGTGCAATAATTGAGCAGCCTTACAAATTCTGCTTAGTCAGCGTGTAAGATTAAACATTGCTTCTGTGAGGCTAATGAATGACCACGGCATTATTTTAGCTATATTTTAATGCATTTTTAGTCAAGGGGTAATTTTGTTTAAGGTTATCGACAATCGATAGTAAAAATAAAGGAGTGGTGGAATGTAGATTTACTCAAATACTCTACTTAAATACTAATTTGAGGTAGTTCTACCTTAAGTATTTCCATTTTATGCAACTTTATACTTTTACTCCACTACATCTTAGAGTAAGATATTGTGTCTTTGACTGCACTACAACTTTCTGAAAGCTTTAGTTGCGGTTACATTCAACAACGTATCTACATTTTGGGTGAATGTTCACGATGAACTGAAGGAAATAGTGTTCCTTAATGGGCTTTAAACATTCTTAATAAACTGTTTAATAATCATCTTGAATCAGCTGGTAAATGCATCGCCACTAAACAGGGCTGTTGTTCTGAGAAACTCATGAAAAGTTGAGTTTAAGATACGTGGTTCTCACAGGACAGAAACAAAGCTACAAAATATGGTGATCTATAGATATGCTGTAGAATGATTCTAGCCAACAGTATATAAAAAGTTAAAATTAGCACAACATTTTACTCTATACTTTATTTGTATTGTGCTTATAATACTGATAGTTAAATAATGTTTTAAATGCAGGACTTTTATTTGTAGTCAGGTATGTTTACTTTTCCTCAATAAGCAATCTTATACTCCTTTCATAACTGTATAAAGATGATGGACAGATGGATTTATACTTCTATATATAATTTACATTTAGCTGATTCTCTACATATTGCACAGATATCATTAAGTAATGAGAGTCATTGGATGCGCAGATACATAAATGGTTATCCGGGTCATTTAAGATATCCCTTCCCTTAAATATGTCCCGGTCCTCTGGAGTTTTCCCTGCTGTCAGCTTTTACACTCCTCAGATGTTTCGCTCGCTGTAATCTGAGTTACTATGACATTTCATCCAGAGTATTTCTGTATCCTAAACAAGATGGCTAGCAGGCTGTGGGGGTTTAAAGGGCATGCTTAAAAAGAAATGTGGGGGGGGGGGGCAAGATTGATATTATGATGTTTACCCAAATTCAGTTGAAACTCTCATTATGGTAGTGGTAGCTGGTGTGATATTCACACTTTGGTTCTCGTCGAGTCAGTGGTCCTACAAATACAAAGACAAAAAGTGGTGTTATTAATATGTTTCCATGTTTCCTATTATGTTTAGTGCTTTTAATCCATGAAGATTGTTTTTGTGCGAGTTGCAGTGTTTGAGATATCAATTTGGCACTCGACTTGTGGTGCTCAAAGTAGCAAACAATATATTTGGTATACTCAACAACAAGGACTTTTACCAGAAATCATGACCTGCTTACTAAAGTAATACACAGACCTTCTTATGAGAAGTTTAACGTAGGAACTACAGATATTGACTACACATATTGCGCAGAAGGAATTGGCAATGGTTCGAGACAGCGAGAAATGTATCGTTAGCTTGATGAGTAGGTGCATGCTTCGTCTGTGAGGTGATACGGTTGGTGGGTGTGGTTCAGTGGAAAGGAATGAGTTACTACATAAAATGATTCTCAACAAGGTCTGTGGATTATCTTGAGTAACCTGGTCGTCATTTCTGTAAAAAACACATTGCTGTTGAGTTAATAAAATGCTTTTGCACATTGAGCACCACAAGCTTGTTTTGATTTAGTCACATTGTAGAGAAGGCAGACATCTCTACTGCTGATATCTCCAGTATTGCAACTGACACAAAATAATTTAAATGAATAAATATCACTACTGTTTAGAGATAAAAAACATCTTGGATATTCGGTGAAATGTCCCTTTCAGTAACTTTATTTACCTGTGATTCAGTCTAGTGGTCCTGACAGGGCTCTATCCCAGCTGCTGGCCTGTGAAGAAGACACAGATGTTAGAGGACTTCATTATAAAGAACTGTGTCATTTGCATAACGTAATGTAGGTCAAATGTCACCAGTGCCTGCCAAGCCACTGCGTTGTTGTCAATTACAATAGAAATGTAAGCTGCATTTCACAGCTGTGTTTTAGCCAAATGTGAAATCGGACACGCTGGTCAACGACTGTGTTTATGGCAGCGAGACAGAAGAAACACAGCTCCTTTGCAAAGTTAATAACAGCAATTTTTGGAATGGTTGGAAGAAATCTAAATTAAAAGCATAGTTTAAAACAGTGAGCAGTTCAAATCAGTTCCTATTCACCTGCTTTCCTTGAAAAGGGGTTGATCCCAGCTGGGATGGAAACATGGGGAAATCCTTAAAAGAGATACAACAATATATATCTGACATTAGAAAAGTGAAAATGAATAGAATAATGTTTATAATTGACTTGATTCTTACCGTCTGAGCTGTGCTTCTCTGCTCTGTTCTCTCCTCTGGAACGTCTTTAGGTTTGGATTTGAACCAACCACTGAACCATCCGGCCTTGGTGTTCAGAATGAAACGAGGAAAGAGAGATAATGAGACCCCAGCCAAACAAACGGCACTGTGGTCCCCTGTGGTGTAACAGGTACCTGTTTAGGGGGTTCGCTGTTCTGCTCGTAGGCCTCTGAACTCTGGGGGGTGCTCTGCTGCCCCTGCTGACTGAAGTGGACTTCCTGCATCTGAACCCCCATCTTAAAGGAAAGTATGGACAGACAACACACTGTCTGTGACTTGTATGAAACATTTCCCAATGCATTGCTTCAAGAGGTAGTTTGTAGTGTTTCATGTGGAAATGTAAGAGTGAATTCTCCATATTAGTCAGTATTGTGTGACTTTAGTGAATCTGAAACCTCTACCAGTGCGCAAGAAGACAAAGAAAATAGCAGGTCAAGGCTACGGCTGACCAGCAACATTTAACAAGTCATGCTCTACAAGCTCAAAGGGACTGTTTTTGTCAAAGGAGAATGGTGGTTTTATAGCAGATTCAGTTTCCCGTCAGACAAGGCCTTGTGTCCACGTATCAGTTTTCAGAAAAGAGCCTCATCCCAGTGTTTTATGAAAGTTTAATTGAATGTTTTGTATGACAACGATATCTTGACACCGTATCGCCGCTGTTGAGAGACAAACATTATTTTAATTATCTATTTGTGGGACTATATATTGATTTGAAATGGTTTTGTTCACGATGAGCACCAACTGGAGGATTCTTGCGCACAACTTTTATGAATGAAATTCACTGCTCAGTCTGACAGCTGTAAAGCAAGGAGGAAGTTCTGCGTTTGGCATAAAGTACAACACTCACTGACAGCAACATTTAATGTCGGCCAAGCCAATCAGATCCGACAAATTATGTTTTTTGTCTTTGTCATTTTGATAGTTTCGGTCCGAAATTACGATCAGGATAGACGGATACGGCCAAATACAAACATCTCCATTTTCTTTAGCAATGTCACCAGAGCTCTTTGAAAAGTGTAAATGTTTTCAACTCCAATAGCTCAGAGGGAACCCACAAAAACAGCTGAATGATCAGAAAAAGAGGGAGGGTGCAGCACCTTCTCTCAAGGCTGCAACGGCGGTTGTCTCACTGGAAACAACTGAAAGAAGATTCCGGGGCTCATAGAAATATACTTTTTAAAGCTGTAAAACTATTATAAACAAAGCGTGCAGTTAAACAGATATGGATTCTTTAAGGTGGCTAATATGAGTTTCCCCCATCCACAGCCGTACATTGCTTAGCTTCCTGCTGTAACTCATGTCTATTTCACCAAATGATCTAATGTAGGTAAAACACTGACTATGGATAAGTTCCTCAAACAGCCTCTCTTTATCAGAACTACCCTGCTAAGAACATTGGTAAATATCGACACTTCTAGCAAATACTTTCACTGAAAAAGTTTGAATCCAGAAAAAGATGGCAAAAGTGTGTTCAAACCAAGAACATGAACATCTTTTTGCTTTTCTTTTAATTAGTATAAAATATGACTCACTGTGGTCGCTCCAGAGTATGACCAAGCCCCTGTAGAAGATATGAAATCAACATATTACACTTTCCCCGCAGTCCTTATTAAACATCTGGGCAGAGCAGTGACTCTCACCCTGTTCTGCTGATGGCTGGTCACTCAGAGCACAATGTGGCCAGGCTGATGTGACTTCAGCACTATCTGTGTTATGATAAGTGAAGGCCTGGCTGGCAGCCACTGTGGAAGCTGGGGGAGCACAAACTGGGGTTACTGTCATCGGAGAATTGGCCTGCTGCCTACAAGGAACAGGGAGGGACATTATGGTCTGTTAGGATATCACACGAGCAGTCACAGTTGTATCTGCGTGGCTGACAGACATGAGTGAGGCATGAGTCAGCACATTTCATCGTACCATTCCTGAGCGCCGCTGCCGTCCCACGACAACTCCTTCATGTCCTCAGTGACTGCTTCAATCTGATGCTGGAGGTGTTCCTGACCCACATCTGGATCTGGATCTCGTCCGTAGTAAAGCAGCTCAGGCTCCGGACTCTGGATGTCACGGTTTAGGTCCTCCAAGTATGGATCTGTAAACATCCGGAAGAATCTTTAGAGTATTCAGGGATAACAGGCTACACAGTGCATTATTTTAATGAGATGATCGAATCATTTTTTTTACCAGTGTAGGCCGTAGCACTGCCATCAGGAGGTGGATGGTGGGTTTCAGTGCAGTCCAAATTCCCCGTCTGAGTAAAATAAGAAAATTAAGACAATCACATTTAAGATTTATTGTAAACATGACACACGATAGCTACTTTGTGAGGATGTCATGAGAAGCAGCAGTGCTTTGAACAAAATGCTAAAATAATATATAGAAGAAAGGCATTTGAAGCAAAATCCATTTTCCAACAGAAACCTAACCACATTTTAACCTTCTTATTATAACTCATTTGAAAAAAACAAAACTTTTTATTAGGAAAAAAACAATAGATAAATGAAGTCAGCTGTAACATGAAGTACCTTAAAGTTAGTTTACAGTAAGCTTAAAAAAAAGTAAAATATAGTTATAATATATAGCTAACTGAAATATATTAATATTATATATTTCTTTTAATATATTAACATCTTGCTTTTGCTAACCAACCCAATCATTGACAGTTTAACAGTATGAATAAATATTGTAACAAATGTAAGAAATAAAAATGGGAATCGTGCTTAATAGCATCCAGTTGATGATACATTTAAATTGCCACATTTGGAACAGGTAGGCCTGTTTGACAGGGCTATATGGGAACTTTTCATTAGGTTTGAAAGCACACTCTAACCCAGCAGCTAACATAGCATTCACATGTAGCTTTTATGGCAGGAACTAGGGCTGAACGATTAATCGATTTTAAATCGAAATCGCGATTTTAAATGATGCAATTATCAGATCGCAAAGCCTGCGATTATTTTTTGTTTTAAAAAAAAAAATTATTTTGTTCTTCTTGTGTGTCAGTCATCCACACCAATCAGAAGTGCTGTGCTCCACATGTACCAGTCATTGTTAACTAATCAGAAGTGGCCCATGATAGAAGGTGATAGACAGATTGATCCAATCACCTGCCAAGTATTTTTGAAATACTTTTCCAAATGGCTTCCAATGGAGCTTTCTTAGATGGTTTGGTGAAACAAAGCATCTGAGTCAGGTTAGTAATGCTCCATCACATGTTTCTATTACAGGGTGGATCTTAAACTGCAACTTGACTTTAAAGCAACCCAACGGAAGTTTCATGTAAGTTTAGTTCTTTCACTCGTAGCTCGGGTGCTAAAGACGGGAGCACGTTGATACGACCTTCCTAGCCGGAGATATGGCCGCATTTTACAATAAACTTCTGTTGGGTCGCTTAAAAACAAATATCGCAAATCGAATCGCAATCGCAATATCTGTCAGAAAAATCGCACTTAGATTATTTCCCCAAATCGTGCAGCCCTAGCAGGAACCATGTGCAAGTTTGCCATAAATGTACGGCTACATTTAATATATTCAGAATAAAAAAAATACAAATAATGTGAGGGCAGTCCAACTCATATTGGCCAGCCGCTTAACATTCCCCTAATTCCTCACAGCCAAAACTGATTCCTATTCCTTACGAATACATGATTTTCTGAAATGAAAGCTTTGAAGAGGCTCACCTGTAAACTGTGGTGGCGAGCACGGAGCAGTTTGAGCCAATCAGGTTCCTGCCCCGCCCCACTGACCCCTGTGTCGTTGAAGTCTCCCTCAGAGTGCCTCAGCCTGTCGGACAGCTGCAGGACAGATGACACATACTGATAGTACATCTATTTAGAATGTAATAGGTTTGTTTATAGGAGGATGTGTGAATACCTTAATAACTTCCCCAGTCAGCACAGAGTAAGACTCCCGCTGCCTGAGCAGGGCCCGGCCCACCACCTCACAGTAATGGAAGGCCTGAGAGGAGAGCCCGCAGTCCAGCAGGCGGGCCGCATACAGGAACTTATACACCTGAACACAATGATAAGAGAGAATATACTATTTATAGGTACTTTCTATAGAAAGCAGTGAGATGTGCACTGAACAAACTGAAACAGGGACCCCTTTATTAAATGTATTATGTCAACACATTTCACATAACTATTAGGTTAGCTGAAAGCAATAATATAAGTTGAACCTAATTTATTTAAACGTAATATTATTGCTTTCAACTAACCTTATACAATTACTGCATGTTTTATCTGTTGACAAAATACAATAACGTTTCATTTTTCTCAGTGTGTTGTGAGTAGGAGCTACCTGAAAGGATGGTATTGAGAGGCCTTTGCCCCCCAGGGTCTGGCAGTACTCGTACAGTTCAGTGCACTGGATGGCCAGATCGGTGGCAAAGTGTTCAAAGGACTGCCTGAAGGAGAGCAGAGGAGACAGGACACAAATATAAGTAAGATCATATCAGGAGACACTAACAGTAAGCCATTCAAAATGTCCTATAAAATGTCATAGTAAACTAATCCTTAAGAATGTCATAACATAGTGAGCCATAAACATATATCCCAAAACATGTCGTTGTATAGTATTCCATAAAAAATGCCGTAGCATATTATTCAGCAGAAAAAAATATCATCAAAAACATTACAGAATAGTATCTTATATTTTAAATAAAGGATGTCATCGTATATGATTCCATTGACAACATTTCAGTTTATTATGCAAAGAAAAAAAAGTGATATATTTGCCATATTCATAAAATGTCATAAAACAGTAATCAGTTGAAAAGATCAACCTATATTATGCAATAAAAAGCTGTATAATATGTCATTGTATATTATGCAATGTAAAATTCTAAGAAAATCGTAGAATAGGATGTTACAATAAGTCATAATATAGTTATCCGTAAAACAATCATAGTATTGTATGCAATTAAATATAAATTAAAAAGAATGATGGCGCAGTGTATTAAAAAGTAATACTAAAGAAAGTCTAACAAAATAGGCATTATGCATTAACATTTGTATCGTATTCTTTGGCATCAAAATATAATAAAAAATGATATAGTTTAGTATGTCACACTAAAAGTCATAATGTAGTATCCACAAAGACTCTAAAACTAAATTAAGAAGATTATATGACATCTACCTGTCTTGCTTCGTTGGTATTGCCTTCATTTTATAGAAATTGCAATATGACTACCTGGTTGACAGACTGATGAATAGCATGAAGGCCCTCTCACCTGTGGCTGCTGCCTAGCAACACCAGCCTCTCCGCCTTCTGAGGGAAGGCCCCGAAGGAGACCCCGGCAGTCAGGTAGCACACATGAGCCGCATGTGTCAGGCCTTTGGAGGCTGCAGGGGGAGTGAAACACAGAACAGCCAGCTCATATACCTGAGCAGAAACGTTGATATCAGTCAGCGTATCTGTACGTACCAAGGGTGTCTCCCATAGTGACGATGGCCTTCTGCTGGACGGCAGGATCTCCCGTCTCATTGGACAGCAGGACAGCCAGGTGGGGCCTCCAGTCCCCCCATTTCTCATTTCCACAGCACTGCACACAGAGCATCAGTATCACCACTCTTATCGGCTGATAATATCTGTCTTATTGGCTTAAAGGGGACCTATCATGCAAAATGCACTTTTTCACGTCTTTTATACATGAATATGTGTCCCCGGTGTTCCAGGGAACTCACCAAGTGTCAGAAAACACAACCCTCTCTATTTTCCTCCATACCCAAATCTCTAAAAAAGGGGCTGCAACGGATCTGATAAAAACTGATCCAGATTTGAACACTGTCCTGACGTCAGGACGGTGGCGCTACGGCTATTGGGCCAACTCCACCAATCAGGAGGAGACAGCCACGGCCGTTGCCGTTCGAAAGCGCTGGAGACGTTGTAGTACATATGCCAGGCCTGTAGATGGTGCTGTTCTCACTGAATCAACCCTTGCAAAAACAGAGCTAGAAATTGTCAAATTGAGCAAAATGAGGCATGGCTAAAATGCATGATCTGTTTGGTATTTTGAAAAAAAAAAAAGTATAAATATGCCTTATATAGGTATGGTCCTATACTATATTATTCAAATATAGCATGATAGGTCCACTTTAAATTCTAAGAAATTCAAGAACCTGATAAAATACCAGCTGCAGATAGTGAAAGAGCACAGGTAAATAACCTTTATTTAATATCTGAGAAATTAAGTGATACACTGACTAAGCAGTAAATAACAGGAAATACAAATGCATGTAAGATCGGTGCCTTTATAAGTTTAAGGAAAGGGCTAATGTTGGTTATATCTCAAAAGTAAAACACATTGATCTCAGAAGTTTTTGTCTCTTTCTCAAAGTTAACCAAATCTTTAATCAATTTATAAATGTATCTTGCCAAGAAGACACAATAGTTACAGACCGACGTTTCTAAGTCATATAATAACAGAAGTGAACGTTGGGATGGGGGTAGAGTTCATGCTGTGTGTGTTACCAGGGCAGCGGCCGGGACCCTCCCAGTCAGCAGGTGGAAGAGGGTCTGCAGGGGGTCGCTGGCCGTCAGCTGGCCTGTGAACCTGCCGGAAGAGCAGAGATACTTTATTTCACCTTTATTTATACAGGAAAAAAACATTGAAATGTAACATTTCAAACTTTTCAAAAGTGTTGTTTCCAAGAGCAGCAGCAGCAGCAATGACACCATTTCATATTTAATGACTAAAATATAGCACTTTACAGAAACAAATGACAGAATTATAACACATTTTTCAACATTACAGTCAAATGTACACTATTTTTGTTACACTATTAAAGTTATCACCTGCTGTACTTTATATGTTTGTTCACTTACTTTTTAGAATGCTGCTACTTATTTCTGTACCATGGATGTGTTCTTATTTGATTTTCTTTATTAGCGTGTGCTTGCCTCTCTATTGAATTATTTCCTTTTTGCCTTTTAAACTGTCCCTTTGCTGTAATATTGTTAATTTTCCCGGCGTGGGATGAATTAAGGACTTCTGATTCTGATGTGCCTGCTTCTTATTAGATTAGAATCACTTTAATTGCATCCACCTCCTAGAGATTAAACTGATTCTAGGCTGTGTGAGCTGCGTACTCAAATGCCTTTTCCCAGTGCAGATGTTGTTTTAGTAGGAATGAGTCCTGGGAGGGAGGACAATAACCTCCTGTCCCTTTTGGTAAGGTGGGGTTCCCTAGGTAAGAAGGAATCACTCCAAGAACAGCCTTATACAGTAAATAAGAATATAAACACTCAGGTCAGAAGACAGACCATCCAACATGTTCATACAGAGACACATGCTCAGTAACGGATGAGATTTGTGATAAATCTCAATTGGCCCCATAAACAGTGTCCATTGTGTGTAGGTATTTTGAGGATGCATGCATGTCAATAACATAGCTACAGTCCAGCACATTCACAACGTTTTCTTTTGGCCTCAGAGAAGAAAAGAAAAAAACATTTTAACTTCAGTTTCTTCACCCTTCCATACTGAAACAATAGCCATCACAGATAAAGAGCATACATAAAGGGATACACCATGCTGATTATTATTAAATCACCCTGCCCCCCCCCCAACATTACTCTAGTGACATGTGCTGCTGAGAGAGAAACGGCTGCTGCCAAAATAGTCTGTAAAATGGATTGTGTTACATGAGAGAGAGTTTATAGGGACAGTAGTGAACATACAGTCAGCCCCCCCCCCCCCAGGAGTTCCTATGATCTTATTGGCCGTCAAGCAAGAGGATTTACACTCTGCAGGAAGGTGTTTATGGGTGTTATGTACTGCCCTAACCCTCTGTAAAGTATAAATAACAGGCAGAGATGAACTCTGAAAAACAAGGCAGAAATAAATATTGTGATCCCACAGAAATAATACATTATTATTGCTTCATTGGTAGAGTTTCTATTAAAGGGACAGCTTTAATGTTCAAAAAGCTCTTTAATGTTCTCATACTGCCTGTGCTGCAGCACCTCTTTTCACCCTCTGTCTGAAACCAGAGCCCAGTCTGCTCTGATTGGTTAGCTGGCCGGCTCTTTTGTGATTGGTCAACCACTAATAGATGTCCCGCCCCTTAGCCTATCAAGTACAATGTCTTGGAGCGCTAGCCAATAGAAGCGCAATTATTACATAGTGATGTCACTATGTTCTGGAAGTAAACAAAGGAGTCCAATGGAGGCGAGCTCCCATAAAATATATATTTTTTAGATGTTATGTTGCACAAAGGAATTTGGAACTTTGGGGTTATTGCTATCGTCAAAATGCTAACATGCTAGCAAGTGTAATGTTTACCATTTTCAGAATTTGGTCATAAACCAAGATTCTTTTATTTTTACAAAATGGTGAGACTTTATGCAAAGTCAGGGGATCACCAAAGTTGTTACAGGTATTGATTGGCAGACAGCAGACCATTACCATATTTATTATAAAAAATATATTGTGTGATACCAATTGAAACGTTTTTTTATGTAATCTATGCAACAATGAACCAGATTGACACGCATTATTACAGTATCTGTTTTCTGCTAAAGTGATTTATTCAGCTTTGCTAACACAGACACAGGAAGCTGAGGATAAACAAGTGACAGAAATAGTGTAGCTGTGACTGAGTGTAAAGCAGATCTAAATGTAGTGAGAGGGAGTATTTCTTCACTAATTGACGCTCGTGTGAGGAGGTGGACAGTTTTCTTCAGCTGTCATGTCTCAGATGACTCTCCTCACCTGTTCAGCACCATGGTGTAGGCCCTGCTGTCCATTTTGCTGGCCAGAAACAGAGCGTGTCCCCACAGGCCGGTGCCCATAGCTGACTCCAGGGCCTCCTGGAAACACATGGGACAATAATTAGATACTTGAACCTTAAACAAAAGCAGTGTCTAGTGTGGGTTATGTTCCTTTTCACTTTTCAGATGAGTTATCAGATCCACTAAGTGGAGTGACTACTCCTCCTGAGGTTTTATCTCAATGTGAGGAGGTTAGGAGTCATCATCGCAGTATGAACTAATGCAACATCCAAATCACAGAAGGCACCATACTTGTTATTGGCAACATATGTTACATGACATTCTGAATGTAGTATTGTCGGGCTGCCTGAAGAACCCGTTAAGTCCCATGCCCCGGGGCTTTTTTTTCACGAAACTGTGTCTCAGGGCTTCTTAACATTTATGAAACTATTAATGTTCCATACTCACTTAACGGGAAGAAACTCAGTTAACTGACACTAACCATTTTTACCGAAACAAAACACAAGTCTCACAAGAAGCGTCTAAATGAGCCCTGAGCGGAAAAATGCTATCGCACTTAGCACCGAACTCACGGCTTAAATACCCTTATTACTTATCGTATCTGCAAAAACAAGATATCGATTAGCAAGATGAGAATCCACAGATTCCAGAAATATTAGTATCACCACTGAGTGATCCGAACTCGCGACAGGGGAGGAAACACGGAGATATTCTTACCTTAGCTGTTGTTCTGATCAAAAGTTGTGTTCAATGGCATTAAAACGATGAAAAACGCTGCTGAAGGTTAATCCAATGGTTAATCCAATGTGTCTGTGTCACTTTGAAATGATTACTGATAATCCATCTTCATATTTACTAGTTTGAGCCTAGGTTTCAGTTTTCAGAGCATAGCATAGCTTTCGTCTTGATGCGCGTAACTCTCACTCCTCAATGGTAACGTGTGTGTGTATGTGGAACTTCCCCTTCGATTCTATTGGCTCAAACGGTTCAAAAGAGGTGTCAATCACCAAAATCGGCCAATGGGTTCCAGAGAAACGGCAAATACACCCAAATGACCCCAAGGTTTGCTAAACCTCTCTAAAAAGGTCAAATCAAATGTCACTTGTTTTGCATCAATCTTGATACAGGGTACTTATTGTATGTTATAGTTTGGATTCCTAAAGTTTTAGTCTACTATCCCATCATTCAAGGGCGGTTTTCACTAAGTAATGTTTTTTTAATTTACATTTTTTTACTATGTTCAATCTGAATTTACTTTAAAATGAAACAATTCTATATTGATTCTGACTTTTCTACATCCAACTCACAGGTTTATCATTACTTTGAGAAAAAAGATTATTAATTTACCCCTTTTAGAAGGGAAGTTATGGTAATTTATTCTGGGAATGTCATTTTCGAACCTGAGGCCTGAAAAACAGGCTTGGGGCTTAACAGGTTAAGCTGTGTATTTTATTAAATGTTTCAATGAAAGTGAGAATATTATATACTCATATCAGAAATGTAATATCAGTTACGAATAATTGCAAATGTTATTTGTAATTTTTGCCAAATCACTCAGCCCTGCTTCCTAAGTGTATATAAAATATGTTAAAGGGGACCAATCATGCAAAATGCACTTTTGTACGTCTTTTATACATGATTATTACATGGCTTAGTTGAATACTCGATTCTGATTGGTCAATTCGGAACACGTGACACGTTGTTAATCCAGAACAGACAGACCGCTGTCAAGGACTTATTGACCGTTGTTAAGGACGCTCACATCTGCACAAACAAGTCCGTTCGATTTAACTGTATACAGTTTGGCGGATAAGCAAACTGCATGCAGTTTGCTTTTCTAACTGACAAGACAAAAGCGACAAGAAAACAGCGGAGAAGTAACGGGGCAGAAACCCTCCTTTTTACGCAGCAGTCCAGACATAGACATCAAACGGCGACACATATTCAGTTGCCAGTTCCTTTGGCATTAGGGCAGGGATATCTAGATACTTTCCACGGTTTGACATAATGAATTGTGCTACTTTTAAAGCAAGCAACGATGTTTTCAAATCTGTAATCAAAAAGCTCCTCAAAAACGCTATCGAAGCAGTTCCTGCCGTTGCTACGTTAGTTCAAACAGTAACAACGGACTATTTTTCTTAGCGGATCCATGTCAATTTAAATCAATACATACAACTATTTTTAAAATCAATAAAATCTTTTTCTAAATCCATAAAAGCATTTCAATTAATATTGGGAGTCATATCGTTACTTTGTTGAGAATGTGGCCATGTAATAAGCGGGATAATGTGCAGCGACTTGGTCATTATGGGGAAAAGAACACCTTCATGCAGATCTAGATCCCTCCGCTTCGCGTCGGGCTCCTGATCAGCCTGTCGGTGTTCTTTTCCCCATAATGACTGCGTCGCTGCACATTATCCCTTACATATGTGTCCCCGGTGTGTCAGGGAACTCACCAAGTGTCAGAAAACACAACCCTCTCTCTTTTCCTCCATACCCAAATCTCTAAAAACGGGGCTGCAACGGATCTGATACAGACTGATCCAGATTTGAACATTCCTCTGACGTCAGGACGGCGGAGCTGACCTATCACGGGAATGAGAGGTTGCCGTGGCATGGTAACAGCATGGTAACACGACGCTCATAACTCGGCCCCCTCCTTTGCAGGGGGGCGTGGTCAGCTGCAGCGCATGCAAAGACAGGGTGGAGGACAGCAAAATAGAGCGAAATGAGGCATGGCTAAAATGCATGATCTGTTTGGTATTTTGAAAAAGAAAACGTATAAATATACCTTATATAGGTATGGCCCTACAATATATTATTCAAATATAGCATGATAGGTCCACTTTAAACTAATTCTACCCTGACAGGGTACAACATTAGCATGCTGCTTAAACAGCTGCAATTTGAATTACATTTTTTGCTGAATAAGTACTTTTACTTTTGATACTTTAAGTACATTTACGAATAGGATTTGAAATGCAGGACCTTTATTTGAATGGAATATTTTTACATTGTGACATTGGTATTTTAACTATAGTAAAGTAACACAATGCAGGATAACCCTGGGATGAATGGAGAGCTATAAGAACACCTTCTTCCTCCCGGCCAGCAGCAGCTGGGTGTAGCCCTGCAGAGCCCCCCCACAGCCCTCAGAGCTCCGGCTGCTGCTGCCTCCGGTGAGCAGGTCGTCTCCGGAGAGGGAGGGGGCTTCAGCTGGACCCGCGCCCTCACTGAAGTCGATGAGGGTGGGGGTGTCAGTCTTGCAGGTTCCGTCTGAATTTGAGCCCTGCACCAGCAGCTCGGCAATGTCTGAGCCAACTATTTGCTGAAACAATGCACATTGAGTGATGATTGCATCAGAATAAACATGATTCTGTGTGTAATATGTCTATAACAAGGCATGGTCAACCTACTCCATTCTGTCTGCAGAGCAGGATGAGCAGGTTCCACAGGAGGGCAGCAGAGCTCCGGTCCTGCAGCCCCCCCCCACTCAGACAGGCAGCCGCCCTCTGCTGGGCAAACTCCATCGCATCCACTTTGTGCAGGTCTTCCCTTCAAAAACATGAATAAAACACGTACATACAACATCGTATTTTGAATTTAAACATCATCTCACAGGACTAATAACGCTTTTCGGTTTGTCATTCAATGTATTCTGAAGGGGTGTGTTACATTTAATGGTGAGAATTGTTAGATTCAGATTTGCACACCAAAATAAAAAAAACAATAAAATGGTTCAATTTTCTCTTTTAAGGTGAATTGTATGCTTTATTTACTAATTTGTATCTGTTGAAAATGGGCAGTGAAATAAAAAAACTGTACTACTGTTGTTGTATTTTGTGCAAATCTCCATATAAATTGCAATACCTGGATAAAGGCCCTGGGAAGTTCCTCATGTCCTGCTGTTCCTCGGTCTCACCCAGAATGACCTATGCAGACATACACACAAAAATAATCTCTTTCAGTCTACAGTACAATGTTAAGAAGAAGATGTTATCAGCACAGGCTGAGCGTACCTCCAGACTGTGGATCTCCAGCTGGCTGACGTTCTCCTGGGTGGAGAGGCCCGGAGTGACCCGGATCAGCTGACCCGCCGGCCCAAAGCTGACCACCACATGAGGGAGGGAGAACTTCAGAGGAGCCGAAACCTGGGGTCCCGGAACATGGTCTGAGGAGATGTGAGACACAGAGCATGTGTCAGGATGACAACAGTTTATAGAAATACTGTATGAATCAGTATCAAGTTAAAAGACTAAAAGTGTATTGTTATAACAAGAGGATTTTCCGATGATAACAAGATATTTTACATTTATGCAACACAATAAACTACAAAAAACTCACATTTTAAATAAGCTTTTCTTGTTTTAACAATGAACTCTTTATTTTTTATCATAATGTGAAATCATTGCTCAAGCAATTAAAAAAATCTTTGTTAGTTATATATATACAGTACCAGTCAAAAGTTTGGACACACCTTCAAATTCAAAGTTTTTTATTTATCTGAGGTGCTTTAATTTGCGGTTTCTGAGTCTGGTAACTCTCATGTATTCCTCTGCAGCAGAGGTAACTCCTGCTCTTCCTTTCCCGGGGGGGTCCTCATGAGAGCCAGTTTAATTGTAGCGTTCGATGGTTTTTGCGACTGCACTTGAGGATACATTAAAAGTTCCTGACATTTTCCGGATCGACTGGCCTTCATTTCTTAAAGTGATGATGGATGGTCGTTTCTCTTTACTGAGTTGAATGGTTCTTGCCATAATATGGATTACAACAGCAGTCAAATAGGGCTTTCCACTGTGCACTAACCCTACCTCTGCACAACACAACTGATGCTCTCAAACACATTCAGAAGGCAAGTCATTCCACAAATTGACTCTTGACAAGGCACACGTGTTCAAGTGTTGAAGAATCTAAAATATAAATCATATTCTGGATTTTTTAACACTTTTTGGTTAACTAGATAATTCCATATTTGTTCTTTCATAGTTTTGATCGAATTTGAAGGTGTGTCCAAACTTTTGACTCAAGGTTCAAGGTTCTTTATTTGTCAAACGAACATAGCTACAGTGTAGTTATGCTGATGAAAATCTTGTGTCACAGACTTCTCCAAGAGAGCAACACAAAACACAGATAAACAGAAAAAATATAGTGCAAGTAAATATTAAATAGTAATACAAAAAGAAAAATTGTTTTAAAAAAGTGAAATAGTGCAATAAGAGTCTATATTGAAATAGGATATATAGGTAAATAGATAAATAATTTTTAAGTAGCAGCCAGATGAATATTAGGGATGTTGTTTCAACTGTTCAGGTGTTTAACAGATTTTGCTTCAACAGTTCAGGTGTTTAACAGTCTTATTGCCTGTGGTATGAAACTGTCCCTGAGTCTGGTGGTATTAGTCCGGATGCTGCGGTAACGCCTGCCAGACGGCAGCAGACAGAACAGTTTGTGGCTGGGGTGATGGGGGTCTTTTATAATCCTGAGGGATTTCTTCCTGAGCCGCTGGGAGTAAAGATCCTCCATGGATGGCAGCTCCGTCCTGGTGATGTGCTGTGCAGTTTTCACTACCCTCTGTAAAGCCTTACGATTGAGGGTGTTGCAACTGCCGTACCAGGCCGTGATGCAGCCAGTCAGGATCGTCTCTATGGTGCACCTGTAGAAGTTGCAGAGCATCCTGGAGTCCATGTTGAACCTCCTCAGCCTGCGGAGGAAGAAGAGCCGCTGTCGAGCTTTTTGGTGATGGTGGTGGTGTGAAGAGTCCATGTCAGGTCCTCAGTGATGTGGACACTGAGGAACCTGAAGCTGCTGACTCTCTCCACGTAGTCCCATTGATGGCGATGGGGGCGTGTCCCTCTCCCTGCTGCTTCCAGTAATCCACAATCAGCTCCTTTGTTTTGCTGACGTTGAGATGGAGGTTGTTATCCTGACACCAAGATGTCAGGTTTGCGACCTCCTCTCTGTTCGCCGTCTCGTCGCCGTCGGAGATCTGGCCGATGACGGTCGTGTCGTCAGCAAACTTCACGATGGTGTTGGAGCTGTGTGTGGCCACACAGTCGTGGGTGAACAGGGAGTAGAGGAGAGGGCTGAGCATGCAGCCTTGAGGGGCTCCGGTGTTGAGGATCAGGTTGGAGGATGTGATGTTTCCCACCCGCACTGCCTGGGGTCTGCCCGTCAGGAAGTTCAGGATCCAGTCACAGAGGGCGATGTTGTTGAGCCCGAGGTCTCTGAGCTTGATGACCAGCTTGGAGGGCACAATGGTGTTGAAAGCTGAACTATAATCAATGAACAGCATTCTCACATATGTGTTCCTGTTCTTCGGGTCCAGGTGTGAGAGGGCAGTGTGGATGGTGAGTGCTATGGCGTCGTCTGTGGACCTGTTTGCTCTGTAGGCAAACTGCAGGGGGTCCAGAGATTCAGGGAGGGAGGAGGTGATGAATAATTTGACTAACCGCTCAAAGCACTTCATTATGATGGAGGTGAGTGCTACTGGGCGGTAGTCGTTGAGGCTGGTGATCTTTGACTTTTTGGGGACAGGAACGATGGTGGAGTGTTTGAAGCATGTGGGGACTACAGACTGCAGCAGGGACCTGTTGAAGATGTCTGTGAACACCTCTGCCAGCTGAACTGCACACACCCTGAGAACACAGCCAGGGATGCCATCAGGTCCAGGAGCCTTGTGTGGGTTGACCCTTTTAAAGGATTTACACACATCTGCCCTGTTTAAAACAAAAGGGCAGTGTAGCTCCTGATCCTTCTCTGCACCCCCAGCCTGGCTGCTCTCAAATCGTGCAAAAAAACTGTTCAGCTCATCTGGGAGAGATACGCACGCAGACACTCCCGCAGCACCCCTCGTTGCTCCTTTGTAGTCTGTCATTGTTCTTAGTCCCGCCCACATGTTCCAGGTGTTACAGCCTTTGAAGTCAGATTCCACCTTGTCTTTGTATTGTCTCTTTGCACTGCTGATAGCTCTCCGGAGTTCATACCTAGAATTCCTGTAATCGTCCAAATCTCCAGCTCTGTGCGCGATAGTGCACGCTTTCAGTTTGCCACGCACCTCGCCGTTTATCCAGGGCTTTTGATTAGGGAATGTACGTACTGAAACCTTCGGTACCACGTCATCGATGCATTTCCCAATGTAGCAGATGACCGTGTGTTGATGTTGTTGTCCTCAAACACACTCCAATCCGTAGATGCAAAGCAATCCTGCAGTGCTGAATCTGATTTCTCACTTCATCGCTGTACTGTCCTTGTTACCGGTCTGTCCCGTTTAAGTTTCTGCTTGTAAGCAGGCAGCAGCAGCAGTGAGATGTGGTCTGATTTACCAAAGGGAGGGCGAGGGAGAGCCTTATATCCATGTCGAAAAGGGGAATAAACATGGTCCAGTATGTTTCGCCCGCACGCCGGGCATGATCTGATGTGTTGAAAGTATCTCGGCAGAACTTTCTTCATGTTGGCGGTATTAAAGTCCCCGGCCACAACGAACGCCGCCTCTGGCCGTGAAGTCTCCGTACTGTCGATAATCCCAAACAGCTGATCGAGTGCCGTGTTGTTGTCGGCGAGCGGCGGAATATACACTGCTGTTATCACAACAGATGTAAATTCTCTCGGCAGGTGAAAAGCCCGGCATGTGATCATGAGGTGCTCTAAATGAGCGGAACAGTCCGAAGAAATAATCCTCACATCTGTACACCAGTTCTTATTTATCAAGAGACACACACCGCCTCCCTTACTTTTCCCCGAGTTAACTGTCCGGTCCTGTCGAAAAATAGTGAATCCGTCAGGAACAATGGCGGAGTCCGGGATAGCGGGGTTGAGCCAAGTCTCAGTGAGAATGAACACGTTACAGTTCTTAATGTCCCGTTGAAAAGCAATCCGACTTCTGAGTTCATCTAGCTTATTTTCAATCGATTGAACCTTAGCCAGAAGAATACTCGGAAGAGGGGATTTTTCCAGACATGAAGTAGAATTAAATCAAATTGTTCTGACATTTTCCCCCTCACGTTATAACAACATGCTGAGTAATCAATAATGAATTTAGTCAAACATTAACGTTACATTCAGATAAATAAAATATTGCTGTAAGAATAAATGTTTCTTGTTTTACATATAACATGATAGGTATGTGTTATAAAGTTAAATACCTTGTTATTTTATGAAAAACATCTTGTCATAACTATACATTTTTCATACAATATGACAGAATAATTTACCAAATTATAACAAAATACAGTTAGTATATCATTAAAACAAGAAATGTAGTGTGTTACATTGTGATATGTGTGTACTGTATGTTGTAATAAAACACATATTGTTATTACATGAAAAACATCTTGTTATAGGACATTATAAGGGTTCACAACTTCTTATTTTTTTACATTTTATAAAAATAATTGTTTCTTGCTATAATGTAATAAGTAAGCATGTTATACCTTTGAAAAAGATCTTGTTACGTGAAATGTAAGTGATTATAGTACATGTTATAGTTATATAGTTCAGCCACAGAGTCATCCCTCTTAGGCACACCACTAAGCGCCTCGGACACTCCTTTGTGCCTGTAGCCATCGGGCTGCACAATCATGGGTTAACCATGTCCCCATTCAAAGTGACCCGTACTGTATGTACAGTACATAAGAACTGCACTGTTGGTACAAATGACTCTGACCTGCACTCACATCTGCACACTTACTAGTAAACTCAAATATGTATATACTGTATGTTCATTCAACTGACCAACGTTTTACCTTGTTGTTGTGATATATTGTTTCTAACAGTTACTTATATCATTTAATTTGTAATGTTATTATCCTTATGTGAACTACTATCTGTACTGCCCTGTATCTCACTCTTACTCTGTTGCTGCTTTAACATCTTAATTGACCTACAGGGATCAATAAAGGTCCATATTGATCTTGACAACAAAATAAAAATATACTTTAATATCAATGAAAGTTATAATGTGATATGTTTGTGTGTAGCAATTATTTCTTACACCAAAACAAAACATGTTTAATGATATAACAATAAACTCATGATGTTTTAACTTGATATTGATTCACTTTTTGAATTTGCTGTGGCAGCAGTATGCTTCCGTACCTGACAGACAGAGTGAAGTAACGGAGCAGCTGTGGTTGATGCTCACCTGAGTGACCAGCTGTGAGGAGGGACTGAGGGGCCGCCTCCCTGGGGTCCACTCCGTTGATGTACTGACTCAGCTCGTAGCTGCTGGAGGATAGGCCGGAGTGTTTGGAGCTCTCTAACGTCCCCTGGTAATAGGAGGAAAGCTCTTCGTTGTCTCTGGAGGGATTGTTATCCTCGTAGTCATTGAGGTAATGCTGGGGGTTGTCTCTGCCGTGGTCATACCTGAGAGAATACATGCAACAATGTATTTGATTTATATAGAAATATTCAGCTTGCTACTGATGCTACAACACATCATTATTCAGCCTCAAGTCATGAGATATGCGCGTTTACTAAACTTTAGCTCTGTCTTCCCAGGATACAACCTCTTATGCACACAGATACATTAAAGTGGACCTATCATGCTATATTTGAATAATATATTGTAGGGCCATACCTATATAAAACATGTCTGTGAAGTTTTTTTTTCAAAATACCAAACAGATCATGCATTTTAGCCATGCCTAATTAGTGCGAATGCTGTGCCACAGCATTCCACTATAGTACTTCAAATCTTTATTCTTCCCCTTATTATTTCAGCCAATACTTTGGCACTCCATAACTTCAGCTTATTTTCAGCTACAGAAACCATTCAAATATTAAACTATTCAGCCTGTTCAGGAATCGATGGGAAACCTTCAACTTTTTAAAAATATTTTATACTTTTTGAAATATTCAGCTTTTTAAACTCTTTTTTTAACATGGAAGTCAATGGGAGATGCCTTCAAATCCTCTTTTCCTACACCTTGCGCCAAATGCTACTCCTTCCACATACTTTCAGCTAGACACTTCATTCCAACTTTCAAATGATCACAACACCTTCAGCTATTCAAACTTGACTTTTATTTTTGATATCTTTTACACTTCTTGAGATAATTAACTTTGTTTGGAGCTTGGTAAAGAGGCTTTCTTCAGATTTTAACATTAGTGTGGATGGAGCAGCTCGTTAAGTCTAGAGTGCTTTGATCTCAAAACAGAGTGGAGGGGTGCTTCAAATTCTCCTCAAAAAATGTTTTAAACTTGCCATAATTCCCAAACCCTACACTCCTCAGACATATTTTTTCATGAAAAACGTAGGAAAACCTCTCCTAGGTTGGAAAATAAAAAAATATGAAGAAAAAATATTAAACAAAATGCCTCTTGAGGGCATGAAGAGACAAAAAGTCCACCAAGCTCCCAATTGATTCCCATGTTAAATCTTTCCGGAACTTTCTTCAGAACAGAGAGAAGTACACTTTAGACAAACTGCTCCCATCTCCACATTTTACACACAAAACCAAAAAAAACAACATATATCAGTTCATTGGGGTTCCCTGATGCTCACGGTCTGGTCATTTTTTGATAGGAGCCATGGTTTTTGAACAGGTGGCAAAATTGTGAGATACAAACCTCAATGCAGTCTTAATGGGACTCAGTGCTGCAGTGGGTAAATTGTCATAAGTCGTCACCATGGTAACCTTTCATCTCTGGGTTTACACACACAGGTGTTTGTAAACATTCATTCACTACTACTTACATTTAATGTCTTTATTTAACTCCTTCAGCCTAATTTCAGCTGCAGGAACCATTCAAATATCAAACAATTCAGCATTTTCAGCACATGATGGGAAACTTTCAACTTTTTCAAAATATGTTATACTTTTTAAAATATTCAGCTTTTTAAAGTCTTTTTTTAACATGGAAGTCATTGCAATGCATTTGAGCTATAACAATTCACACTCTCTCAGACAGACAGACAGACAGACAGACAGACAGTCAGACAGTCAGTCAGTCAGTCAGTCAGTCAGTCAGTCAGTCAGTCAGTCAGTCAGTCAGTCAGTCAGTCAGTCAGTCAGTCAGTCAGTCAGTCAGTCAGTCAGTCAGTCAGTCAGTCTCTCTCTCTCTCTCTCTCTCTCTCTCTCTCTCTCTCTCTCTCTCTCTCTCTCTCTCTCTCTCTCTCTCTCTCTCTCTCTCTCTCTCTCTCTCTCTCTCTCCTCTCTCTCTCTCTCTCTCCTCTCTCTTTGTAGTTCAAATATTCTGCTGCTTTCCCAAGCCTTTTTACTTTCTTTTCTCATCTTAATACAAATTCATTCACTACTACTTACATCTGATATTTAACTCCTTCAGCCTATTTTCAGCTGCAGAAACCATTCAACTATTACATTATTCAGCTATTTCAGGACATCAAGGCTATACATGTTTGTTTAAACCTTTTCTTTTAAATATTAAGCTTTTTCTTCATTTTTGTAGCAAAAAGCTACCATTCAGCTAATAACATTCAGCTTTTTCTGCATTTTCAGCTAAATTCAGCCACAAATGTTCACAGTTTACAGCATTCGCACGCATTTTCTGCAGGAAATGCATTTTCTAGTTTTGCTCTATTTTGCTCTCCTCCAGCCTGTCTTTGCATGAGCTGCAGCTGACCACGCCCCCCTGCAAAGGAGGGGGGCGAGGCACGAGCGTCATGTTACCATGCTGTTACCATGCTGTTACCATGCCACGGCAACCTCTCATTCCCCTGATAGGTGGAGAGTTGGCCATATAGGCGGAGCTCCTCGTTCCTGACGTCAAAGAATTTTCAAATCTGGATCAGTTTGTATCAGATCCGTTGCAGCCCCGTTTTTAGAGATTTGGGTATGGAGGAAAAGAGAGAGGGTTGTGTTTTCTGACACTTGGTGAGTTCCCTGACACACCGGGGACACATATTCATGTATAAAAGACGTACAAAAGTGCATTTTGCATGATAGGTCCCCTTTAAGATTACAGATTACATTACACGAACAAGCATATGTTAAAAGGAACAACTGTAACTGTAACATCCTTAACTCTGGTATCTGTCAGATCTCGCTGTCAAAATAAAACACAATACCCGCATTAGAGCTATCTTACCCTGTTGGGTTCACATTGATTTTAATCCTTTGCTCTCTCCAACATGTTGCTGATTTGTTGACTTCTTGTATGCATGTGTGCCCCTCTGCAGGTTATGATTCCTAACTCTTCTCTAAGGAATACTTCACCCACAAAATGATTATGTGTTTATAAATATCTGATTCTTTGAAACCTTGAATTCTTTGAGAAAAGAAACATGCCTCCACGGTGGCAACAAAGAATCCCAAAACTGGGAATATTTATGATGAATTGAAGTGAACATTTAACAACAGCAAAACTATACCACACATCTCACACAACTCTTAAGTGAAAAGCCAGGTGTTTGGTAAGTACTGTATAATGAGCATTCGATAATGGTTTTTAACAGATTTGTATATGAGTTGCTATTGTTAGACAGCCTTCATTTACTTTAATCCATTAAGATATTTTTCAGTTGTTGGACTCTTCAAGGCATGCGAAAACAAAATGCACAAATTGCATCATCTGAATATAATTTTCTTTGTGGTGCGAAAACAATCCAGCAAAGGCTGCAACACATCTGCACTGTTTCCAAACTGAGAATGGATCATGTTTCTACTGACAGTCATAAATCAATAAAGGGTTGACTTCAGATCTGAGACTCACCTGTGCTCCTCGCTGTAGGCGCTCCCTGAGGGTTCCTGCTTGTATGTTCTGTCCTGAGAAGGGCCCGTTCTCCAGGAGTCTTGGGGCCCCCACTGTCCAGCATCTAAATGAGAAGACACATGTATCATCTTAAGTTTCACCAGGGCACAGAGTGTAGCAGATAAAAGTTTGTCGTCTTCTGTACCTTGTGGTCCCTGCTGTCCTCTGTAGTCCTGCTCATAGTAACCATAGTGATCTCTGTAGTCCCAGTGGCCGTGGGGGGGGTAGTCATACCCATGCCTGAAAATAAAATGAACTCTAGTTCAGTCAGTGCATTTATTAACTTTCTTCATGTAAAGAATCTGGTGCTGAAAACATTATTATATTTAGAGCTTCATCCTTCTTCATTGAACCATTCTTGGGGTGACAGGCGTATCCCAGCATGCACTGAGCACAAACCCCAATGCCTTTATCACCAGAACCATGTACTTACTTATAGTTTGTGTTTGTCTTATATTGCATGCATGCATACAATGAATTGATTATTAAAGGGATAGTTCAGATTGTCTGAGGTAGTTCAAGTTGTATGAGGTAGTTATTCTGATTTAGTGTATGACCTACAGTAGCTGTCGGTTTGGAGAAACAAACAGCAGCACAGAAGCTAAGCAATGTACAGCTGTGGACAGGGGCAGCAAAGGACATACTTCAGACACAAAAAAAATCAATATCTGTTTAAGTTTACAGACAGCTGAAATTGATATGCGGCTCTCTTCAAAGATACCAGACTTCATTGACTTCCAGAACACAAATGTTGGTCAGTCAATTTATTTGTTTTATTGTGTGACTTGGTTGAATCCAAAGTAAGCTAGGTATCTTAAACCCATTTAACCCCAAAAGAAAGCCCAGTAAGCAGCTTCAGTTCTGAAATGGCTGACTGACAATCTGGTAGAGTGCTGGCAATGTTCTACATATAGCGTACGCTTTGACTGATGTTGATTCTTTTAGGTTGTCAAAAATAAGTAGCAGTAAAATACTTCTGTCTGTTTCTCCAAACCGGGGGTGTGCACAAGCCCCCAGGAATTGCACTGGGCTGTTAAGCCAATGTATGTAGTGGCAAAACAATGTACTACAACTTCAGTGTCAGGTTGTGATGTCATTGGGCCCAAAAATACTTTTTACTATTGACTTACATTGGGAAAGAGATGTCTGTAAATCAGTGGATATTGATTTTTGTAGCTGCATTAACTTCCCTGTACTAACACTTGAATAAGCCTTATTTAAATCATTACTGTAGGTCATAAAAGTTGTAAAATGCGCCACTTTCATAGGAATGAACAGGCAGTTCTCTTTATACATCCTTGGACATGCCGACAGCTATCTACTGTAGTAATAAACTGACTATTGATAAGAAGGCTACCTCATACAACCCCACTTCCAACAATCCAAACTATTTATTTAACGTCTTCCTAGTAGCAGTCACTTTTGCACAATCTTTAATAAGGGAAAGTCTATATCAATCAAAACTTTTCCCCCAGTTTCAGAGAGGTCCACTGTCACTGTAAGGCAAGGCAAGGCAAGTTTATATACAGGGGTGCACATAACTGGTACGCAGGTACGCATGCGCGGCACAAATCTGAATTGCGTAACGTCACTTGTGTCACTACGCGCCTTTGCGTACCTCAAAACATCAAAACAAAACACATATTTCGTCTACACGTGTTTCTTGTCAACACTCAATGGAGTAAACTACTAGGCATGTCAAAAAACCCAAAGACATTAAGCAGCTACGTTGCCGTTTCGCTCCCTGCAAAAAATCTTTCTATGACTGATTGAACTGGAGCTGGGTGAGCCGCGCAGGACATAACCGACGGACCTGTGAAGCTTTCCAGGAGGCAGAGGCTTAGATCACTGGACGACAGAGTTGGTCGCCGTGTGCACAGACAGGGTTAACGTCGGTATAAACAACAGAATTGTGCCAAAAGTCCGCCAACTGGCTGCGGTGGGAGACTCCCCTGTGCACATTCTGTGCCCCGCGCACACACTGGAGAACTGCGCAAAATCATCTGATCACAACGTTCACGCTCTGTGGTCAAGCTGCTGCAGTTTTATTTACACCAAAGTGGAGTGAAACACACAGCTGCAAACTTACTCAGGGTGTTATGGAAGAGTTTGAAATCAGACAGAGGTGGAAGAAGTACTCAGATCTTGTGTAGGAATACTCTGTTACAGTAAAAGTCCTGCATTCAAAATGTTACTCAAGTAAAATTAGAAAAGTATTATCAAAATATAGTGAAAGTAGCGACAGTAAAAGTATTCATTGTGCAGATTGGTCCATTTCAGAATAATATATATGATATGTTTTATAATGATTGATCATGAAAGTGTTCTCAAAGCTGGTAAAGGAGCAGCTAGTTTGAATGACTTTGTATACTGCAGGGTAGCTTGTGAATTTACTCCAGGTGGAACTAAAGTCTGATTTAACACTTGAGTATATTTCACATCATTCATCCACATCTGTAAAGTAACTAAAGGGATTAAATACATGTAGTGGAGTAAAAGTAGAAGTACAAAGTAGCATAAAATAGAAATACTCAAGTCAACTACAAGTATCTCAAAATTGTACTTGAGTAAATAAGTGTGCTTTGTTACTTCCCACATTTGAAATCAGATATGACTTCAAGTCATGTGATCATTTCTTAGTATTTGATCCTTCAACTTGGCCTCAGGAAATGCAAGGACTTCACAGTTTTGGCAACAAGTTTTGGAGAAAGCAAATCGGAGGCTTAAAAAGAGACAGGGAGGTGCATCTTCATCATCTTCATCATCTAGCATGCAAGAAGTGTAAATTGAGGACAGTGAAGGAGACACTGAGGAGGACCACGCTTCGTGTGGGGTGAGTACCAAACGCTGTCTCTTGGTACTCATCTGAGTAACTCACTAAAAAAGTTATGTGCACCCCTGTTTATATAGCACCTATACACACCTATTACACACAAGGTAATTCAAAGTGCTTTACAAAAAATGAAAGACATTAAGAAAATGGCATTTAAAATCAGTCATTAAAAAGCAAAGATAATAAAATAAACATTAAAAGAAAAAATACATGGATAAAAGTTACAGTGCAGTTTAAGATGTGAATAGTTAAATTAAAAGCAGCGGCAAAAAGAAAAGTCTTCAGCCTGGATTTAAAAGTAGTAAGAGTTGCAGCGGACCTGCAGGTTTCTGGTAGTTTGTTCCAGATATTTGGAGCATAATAACTGAACGCTGCTTCTCCATGTTTAGTTCTGACTCTGGGGACAGAAAGCTGACCAGTCCCTGAAGACCTGAGAGTTCTGGATGGTTCATAATTTAGCAGTAGGTCAGACATGTATTTTGGGCCTAAACCATTCAAAGCTTTATAAACCAGCAGCAATATTTTGAAATCTATTCTTTGACACACAGGAAGCCAGTGTAAAGACTTCAGAACTGGAGTGATGTGATCCACTTTCTTAGTGTCAGTGAGGAACCAGTGTAAAGACTTCAGAACAGGAGTGATGTGATCCACTTTCTTAGTGTCAGTGAGGACTCGAGCAGCAGCGTTCTGAATCAGCTGCAGCTTTCTAATATATTTTTTAGTGAGACCTGTGAAGACACCATTACAGTAGTCCAGTCTACTGAAGATAAAAGCATGGACAACTTTTTCCAAATCCTGCTGTGACATTAGTCTTTTAATCCTAGATATGTTCTTTAGGTGATAGTAGGCTGATTTAGTAACTGTTTTAATGTGACTGTTGAAACTCAGGTCAGAGTCCATGACTACACCTAGATTTCTGGCTTTATCTGTTGTTTTGAACATTGCAGACTGAAGCTCACCGCTAACTTTTATACGTTCTGCCTTGGCTCCAAAAACCATTACCTCAGTTTTATCTTTGTTTAATTGGAGAAAGTTCTGACACATCCAGTCATTGATTTGTTCATTGCACTTACTCAGTGTTTGAATTGGAGCATAGTCTCCTGGTGAAATGGTTATGTAAATGTGGGTGTCATCCGCATAGCTATGGTAACTTATTTAGTTGTTTTTCATTATCTGAGCCAGTGGTAACATGTAGATGTTAAAGAGAAGAGGCCCCAAGATGGAGCCTTGAGGAACCCCACATGTCATATTTGTCAACTCCGATGTGAATTTACTAGGGCTGTCAAGTTAACGCGTTAACAACGCCAACAAATTAACGCCACTAATTATTTTAACGCGATTAACGCATGTGTATTTTTTGTCCTCGGCCGCCCCGTAGTTTCAGAGCGCATCAAGTTTAAAATACCACATACAAGCTGATGCTGACAGCCCCGCTCCTGCCGCCCGCTTGTGGCAGACCACACTTCCACGCTCACCGGCAGGCCCGGACTGGCCATCGGGAGGACCGGGAGGGTGTGTGTATGTGTGGCGCGACTCGCGAGCGAGGCACACCTTACGTGTTGTTGTTGTTATCTGGTGCTAGCTAGCTTGAAAAATATCCCTCTAAGGTACATTTAGAACAGATAAAAAATGTGCGATTAATTTGCGATTAATCGCGATTAACTATGGACAATCATGCGATTAATCGCGATTAAATATTTTAATCGACTGACAGCCCTAGTATTTACCTATAGAAACAAAGTTGTTTCTGTCCTTAAAGTAGGATTCAAACCAATTTAGAACTGTTGATGAAAGTCCCACCTGGTTTTCTAGTCGGTCTAGTAATATGTTGTGGTCAACAGTGTCAAACACAGCACTGAGATCTAATAATACTAACACTGAAGTTCTGCCACTGTCTGTGTTTAAGTGGATGTCATTGAAGACCTTTACAAGAGCAGTCTCAGTGCTGTGGTTTGGACGAAAGCCTGACTGGAACACATCCAAACAGTTATTTAAATGCAAGAAATTACTCAACTGTTGAAAAACAACTTTTTCAATGATTTTACCTAGAAATGGCAGGTTTGATATGGGCCTGTAGTTGTTCATTACTGAAGCATCTAGATTATTATTTTTTAAGAGCGGTTTAATGACTGCAGTTTTCAGGGCCTGTGGAAAAACACCTGAGTGAAGAGACTTGTTTACTATATGAAGTAGATCTGAGGCCATGCAATGAAAAACATTTTTGTCTGTTGGAATAATATCAAGGCAGCAGGAGGAGGATTTCAGAAGTTGAATAATGTCCTCTAGGTTTTTATCATTAATCTGATGGAATTGTGTTATGGAGTTTGAATTGATTTTAAGTGGACACTGAGACAAAACATTTGCTGTACCTGATGCAGAGGCACTGACTGTCTGATTTTCTGAATGTTGTCAGTGAAGAAGGAAGCAAAGTCATTGGACGCCCTGGTGGATAGAAATTCATAGGCTACTGACACTGGGGGGTTTGTTAGTCTGTCGACGGTAGCAAACAAGGCACGTGCGTTGTTTTTGTTTTTGGTAATGATGTCAGAGAAGAAAGACTGTCGTGCGTTTTTCAATTCCAAATTATAAAGACCAAGTCTCTCTGTACTGTACTCACCTGGACTGGGGTCTCTGGTGTTCCGGAAGAATGTAGCCATGAGGATACTGCTGGGTGTTGTGAGGATACGGCTCCGCTCTGGCAGGAGGGCTGCTGAACTGAGCCCTGTAGCGGGGGTCCTGAGCCCAGTGTCGGTCCCTCTCTCTGGGGAGGGGGGCTGGGGTGTAGCTCTGCTCCCTGTCCTGCTGAGGGTACCTGTAGTCCTCTCTGTCTTTGGATCTTTGGGAGTGACGGCCAGAGTCATTCCGGGGGGGACCTCTGTGATCCATGATGACCCCCTCCTCACAGGATCAGCCTAACAACTGAGGGAAATAATGGGAGGTGGAGGAAATCCTGAATTTGAAAGTTGAATCCACAAAAGGTTATGTTTTCAGCTCACACATGCCAGATGCAGTCAAAGTACAGAAGCTACTGCCACATCATTTGACTGAAACTCACAACATGAGCTGATAACATGTGAGCATGATAACAAGAGGATAAAGGTCACACATTACCGTGAGCCAGAGGTGGGAAGTAACTAAGTGCATTTACTCAAGTACAATTTTGAGCTACTTGTACTTTACTTGAGTTCTTCCATGTTATGCTACTTTATACAGTACTTCTACTCCACTACATTTAAAAGGGAAATAATGTAATTTTACTCCACTACATTTATTTAACAGCTTCAGCTACTTTTAACAAAATGCATCTCTAAAAATGTAACAAGTGGACTAGCTCTTTAAGTCACAAAAGAGTCAAATTATTCAAATATTTTACAAAAAGTCAATCAGAACTTTGTTTGTTTACAACAGTAAAATGCTACTTGATGGAACAATATCATCTAGAAATCTCACATATATAAATATCACTATGTAGACACATAAAGGCAAATTTTCTGCACAATGATTTATTTTATTTATTATACTTTAAGTACATTTTGCTGGCTGTTGTACTTTTAAGTAATATTTTGCATGCTTGTCATGATGACATTTTGAATGCTTGTAATGAAATATTTTTGACATAATGTATTGGAACTTTTACTCAAGTAAAGCATCTGAATACTTCTGTCACCTCTGCCGTGAGCCATCAACACTGTTACTACACAGGAGCCAGTGCGAAAAAGTATAAAGTATCCCAACCATATGAATAAAAAACGTACCTTTCAAAACACAAGCACAGCACTCAGAGAAAGGGTGTGCAGAACGCTTCATGTCCGCACAGTAAACACAGGATCCCGCCCTGAGCAGGCTGACAGCTGACGGCTGCTGGAGAGGAGATCACGTCCATGTTCAGGATCACTGAGACAGAAAACAGATACTTGTTTCTGCTTTATTTCCACGTGACTAACGGATCCTCGGATAGTAGGTACTAGGTGTCATGTGGGAAAGGGAAACTTTGCAGAGCTGAGTGCTGCCACGTTGCCGGTAGAAGATGCAGCGGTGAGTCGGTGTTAGATGGAGCTGCTCTCCGGTCAGTTTTAGGGGGTTTTCCGTCAGTGGAGCAAGATGAAACTGATTCCAAGTCAGCGGGGACAACTTGGAGGTCGACGTGTTGTGACCTACATATCCACCAGAGGCGCTGTTCCTCATAATCATGGACAGAGGGATGGAAACTCACTGTAGTTTCGACACAACTTCTTTGTTACCAACAGAATATACTTTCAGTTATGTCTCTAAATAAATACATACATAATGTGTATGTTGACCAGTGTAACTGTAGGACAGACAGAGATAAATAAAACATGTATTATATATTTTAGCAATAAGATGTTGTTGTCCCAAGGGATACATTCTAAAGCTAATATGTGAAGTAATATATCAAATGTCCATTCGCAAAATAAAAATACCACACCTGGATAAGCTAAAACAATAACCTTTAGTTACTAGTTACTTTGCAGATTTAAATATAAGTCCACTAAAATGTGCGCTCTTCCTCTTGCTCCTCCTCTCCCAGTGCTTTGAAAATCTTAGATTTAAGACAATCCAACAATGCTTATATGCATTTCAAAAACAAGATCACGCAAGTTAATAAAAAATAAGAAAAATATAAACTTGTGTAATTTCAAATACAGGGCTAAAATATGAACATAAATCAAATGTAAAATGAAGTGATAGACTATTTGTGTTAGACAATATTACAAATGTATTAACGGCCTGTAAACAGGAACACAGAAAATGTGTATGCATAATGAAAAATAAATAAATATATAGGCTATATTTAATAAACAGTTTGGTAAACAATCAGCAAATTACCTGAAAAACTGCAATATGTTCTACTTTTTTTAAATCATTTTTAAAATGATTTCTAATTTCCCCTTTTTTTATGACTTATCTTAGTATTTGTTGGTCCAATGAAGGCACTATAACTGCTATATTGCCTTTATCGCATACGCAAAGGCAGAATACAAATTGAAATGACAGTTATTTTGTGATTAACTGGAATGTGGTTCCTACATCTGGGTGTGATTCCTGAACACAGCCACAGGATGTCGCTATATTCCCTAACACGGAGGTGAAAATGAAATCTGAGTTGCACGTGACCGATGGGACGGCGTTATGCAAATGAGCACCGGGCAGCGCTGTGAGTGCTGGAAGCGTCGCTCTGCCCGGCACACATATGTATGTACACGGTGAGACTCTCCGCACACAGAAGCACTCTATCTCCGCTCTGGATATTTTACCACACCAAACCGCTCGGATGTGCAATATGACTTTTGAAGAAACCGGTGGAGATAATTCTTCAGATAGGTAAGCTCGTGTTGCTTTGCACCTTTTTTGCATTTCTCTTCGTTTTTTGACTTGGTACTAACTTGTCTTTGATGTGAACTTCCGTTTTTAACACTATGCAAATACCTTAACCAATAACCTGGACCCGTTTTATTTAACTGACTGAGTTTACCCTCATGCAGTCAGTTGTGGCTGACATTTATCCACATGTTGTCTCATATTCAGTATTGGTTGCTGGTAATACAAGAGCAACGGTCACTAAACGTGCTAAATTAAGCTATAGCATCTTTGGCGTTAACCTAAGTAATTATGCTAACGTTAGCGCACGTTCACTTATGTTGTTTTAGCTTGCGTCAACACTACATGCTCAGTAATTCAGAGTCAAACTTGTATGACGCAGATATGTTCACATTGTAAAGTCTTAACACCTTTCAGTATGTACACATGGATAACTTGGACAAACCTTAAAGTAAAGTCTTATTATTCCTTTCTTTTTTAATGTGTAAGACCTCAGCTGCAGGTATTTGGTGAAGGTGTCCAGGGTCTTCCCCCTAGAACATTTTTTTTAATTAAAATATGCAATTTTACATGTTTTTCGCTAACTTTTATTAACATATCTGTGTACTAAAAGCTTGCAGAAAAGCGTTGCTCCACACATTCATTTTACATTTACTTTGCATAGGTGGTGCCCTTAACGGCTCTCTTGAATGGAAGGGAAACCCTGCTGTTGCGTTGACTGTGTTTTATGTGTTTGCTGGCTGATATCTTTTAATAAATACATGTAATGTCTATTTCCTCAGGATGGAAACGGTGGCTATAGCATTAGAGGAGGTCCTGAGCTCTGCATTGCCTCAGGGTTGCATCACTGCTGGAGTCTATGAGGCAGCAAAGTCACTAAATGCGTAAGTTAACAAAAAAGAAATGCTGCAGCTTCCCCTCTGCTAACTGTTCTTCTTTAAACCTGAGCTGTATATCCTTTTCCTGACAACTCTGCCTTGCCTTTGTCTCGTGCAGAGATCCAGACAATGTGGTCTTGTGTCTGCTGGCCACAGACGACGAGGAGGATGTGGCGCTCCAGATTCACTTCACCTTGATCCAGGCATTCTGCTGCGAGAATGACATCAACATCCTGCGGGTGAGCAACATGAGGCGCCTGGCAGAAATCCTGGGAGGAGTGAAGCCTGGAGGGGAGCCCATGGACCTGCACTGTGTCCTAGTTACTGTAAGTGTCATTACTCACATCTGTTTACTGTAGTACTACATGTTGCTCACTTCCCTTCAGACTGGAAACAGGGTTGTTTTGCCCTGAGCCAGTTTTAAGATCATTGCTAATACTTGTAAGGAACTGTTGCTAGCAGTAGTTGTGCAGTCTGTTTTAACATTTAATTTCATGTGCTTTCTCCTGCAGAATCCCCAGTCGTCCCTGTGGAAGGATCCTGCGCTGAGCAAAGTGACCAGATTCTGCAGAGAGAGCCGCTGTTTGGACCAGTGGGTGCCTGTTATCAACCTGCCGGACCGATGAAACCCGCTGTGGAATATGAATGTATTGTGTGCATTGGGGGAAAAGTAACTGCACAGGGCCTGTGTTGATGTCTGTGTTGGAAAGAGAACCAGAGAGAGGCGGGAGGGGCAGGAAAAAAAAGAACTTGCGTCAGCCAAACTTTCCAACTAATTTCTCGGGTCATGGTGAACTCGTGGGCCAAGGAGGAGTGACTCAGCAGTCTGCGTTCCAGGATTTCCAACGTATGACTGCGCCTTTCTCTGCCGAGAAAGAAGCCTTTACAGGAAGCTGAGCCGTGTGAGCTGACAGGCACACGTGGTGGGGAGCACAAACGCAGGACTGGGGGGGGGGGCAGACACAGAGCCTCAGTTGACAAGACTCCAAGAACTGGAGCAGTCAGAGCGCTCGGAACCAGGAATTCCTCATGAAAATTTGACCAAATCCACGCATTTGTTTAACAGCACATTTATTTAATAGTATTTAAGACGTGTCACTTTGATCACTCTAAAGGGAAAGTTTTCACACTTTATTATTAATATTATTATTTTAAGGGCAATGCAATGTTCCCACTTGTCCACTAACTGATGTTTTTACGTGTTATTAATTTAATGAGTTATATTTATTGTTCATGGAATTCTGCCTTGTTACTTTGAATGAAATAAACAAACAAGCAACAGTTGACAGGGTGGTTCTGCCTCCATGATTTCCAGGTACTTGTAGGAAGTTGCACAGTGTCCTGAGGAGCAGTGAACGCCTCTGGAACACATTGAGCTCAGCATGTTGCACCACAGGGTTTGGATTTCGCCCCGGCATGTCACTGTGCAGGTTAGAGTAGAAACTCAACACATACCTCACGCTTCCTGCAGCAGCACCAGTGAAAACAACATAAAGATCTGGGGTTTTTGGGATAGTCCTTCAAAATGAAACTCAACTTTTTTATTTTTGTATGTTGTCAAATATTTTATTAACAAGTTAACATAGTAATCTTTTCTGGTCGTAATCTGCTACAGACAGTGGTGGAAGAAGTACTTAAATCTTATTTTTTACTAAAAGGTTGCAATACCAGAGTACAGGAACATACTCTGTTGGTAGTAAATACTACATTCAAAATGTTGCTAAAGTACATTAGTCTTAGATTAAAGATATACTGAACTTTAAGTAACAAAAGTAACATTTCAACAGTATGACCCATTTCAGTGTTTCATGTGTTATGTTAGTCACTTGAGTGTTACAGCTCGCCTGTAATATTACATCATATTTTATTTATTGATTATATTTGTATTGATCTAAATTTGCAAAATAACTTATGTAAAGAGGTAAAAAAAGAACTATTGTTCTCGGAAATGTAGAAGTATAAATGAACAAAAAGTGAAACAAAATGGTACTTGAGCAAACTTAATAACTTTACAGCCAGGAAACGGACTTTGCTCCTACATGGGAACTCCAGTCAAATGTGACCTTCTGCTCATATAGAGAATGGGACTTATCGTGACGGCTCCTTCTTTCCAACCTCCTGCAGCTACGCATCAGAGCTACATTTACTGCTGAGTGGGCTAAAAATAGCAGAGAGGAAAGACCGAAAAAAATAAATCACGTTAAAGACTCATTTCAGACTGCAAAAAGAGACAACCAGAAATAATTGGTGCTTGCGTAATGGGGAGGGACAAAGCCTCTGCACACAGAGGGTCCCAGCACAATGGGGGCATGAGTCAGGGCTATTCAGGTGTCCATTGCTAGAGCTGTACAGTGCTTTAGCTTCATGGCAGAAAATAGCTCTGTGAATAGAGGCGTTCCCCTGACCACTCACACACAGACAATAGTAACACTTGTAATTAACAGGCAGCGTGCACAGTGCTGCAGAGAGGCAGAGTGCAGGGGGGGGGGGGGCACTGACACCAGAGGTGAAGAAGTGCTCTGATTTCATACTTGAGTAAAAGTAGCAACAATAACTTGTACAAATACTGTGTTACACGCATTCAAAATGTTAGGTAAGTATAAAAGTACAAAAGTATTAGAAGTAAATGATACATAGGGTACCAAAAGTACTTGTTAGCATAATGGCCCATTTCAGAATCATATGAAATATCTGGATTATGATCACTAATGTGTTTATCACAACGGTTAAAGGTGGAGCTAATTGTAATTACTTTATATACTGCTGCTGGATATCTTAACCTTTAATTATATGTCAATGTTTATTTACTATTTATTATTGATTTATATTTTGTATAAGCTGGCGCATTGTTGGAGGCGCCTGACTTCAGTTTTTCATTGTCATAGCTACTGTAGCTGCTGAGCACATGACAATGAAACTTTGAATCTTGAATCAGAATCTGCAAAGTAAGTAAATCTGTCCGTTAAAAGTAAGATTAAAAGATACTTAGGTAAAGTACCTCAATATTGTAGTATCAAATATACTTTTTTTAATTCTACCACTGACTAACCTCTCTGAGGGTCCTGGGGCAGATGGGGAGGGGGGTGCAGGAGTGACTGGGAGACTGGAGGAGAGCGGGGGGGTTTGACAGAGTGGCTGCAGAGATGCGTTAAATGATCTGAAGTTAAAGGGAGCAGTCAAATGTAATAGAATGTTCACAGAGCAGAAACATGCAGATCTACACTCCACTGAACTGATGTTGCCTCTTCTAGAATACAAGTACATTTACTCAAATACTTTACTTAGCTTCTTGTAATTTATTTGAATATTTCCACTTTTGCAACTTTACCCCGTATCAGAGGACAACATGTTCTTTTCATTAGTCCGACAGCTTTAAAGACTTTTCAGATAACAATCCTTCATACCTTTCCTGTCCAGTGTAAACCCCACATCTCCATACATGGTAAGGATTTGTATTTAAATGTTGCTGATTAACTGATGGGTAAAGTTTTCTCTGAGTAGCCTACTGCCGTCTTACAGCAGTGTCATGCTCATGCAGCACATTAAAGCAGCAGTAATATTAATCCATCATATATAATAGCTGTGCTGGAGGAAATAATTACATATTTTACTTAAAGGTAGGGTATGTAAGAATGGAGAAACCAGCTTGAGTGCGCTAGAATTTGAAAGTACGCAGCCGAAATAAATCTGCCCCTTCCTTCAGACTTCCTTACAGAGCCCCTCCTCCAACACACACGAACGCGCACATGACCAATGAGGGCACGAGATAAGTTTGTGCACAGATGGAAGGCTGACAGGCAGGTAGGCCATCCAGTTATTTTAGCCGGGCCGGCTCAGATGATTGGTCGTGCTTTTTACAGTATTACGGCTTCCACAGATGATATTTTTTTATGTATTTATTGTCAATGCATTTAATGTATTCATTGCTATCGGGATGTTAAGAGCATTCCATGGAATATAACAAAAAGTGTTTCTGAAATAAATTACATACCCCACCTTTAAGTAAGGTTTAAAATGCTGGCCTTTAACTTGCAGTGCAGTATTTTCCCTGTGTGGTGTAATACCTTTTCTTCCATTACTGTTCTTTGGAACATTTTAAAATCTGCACATCTGAAACAAGAGCACACTGATGAGACAGGAAATAAAGCCAAAGTAAAGTCTGACATTTGGTTATCTTAGGTAAGGGGTGAGTGGGATGAGAGTGAAATGAAACCTGGGGCCAATTTAACCACATTTCTTTCATGATCACAGCCTTAAGGTCACACAGGGAGGGGGGGGGGCAGTAAGTAAGTGAGATATCAGAGATACTGGGCTTATCCCTGAGCTTCTCCTCTGCTCTGACAGGTAATACAATCACTGCTACAAAGCCTTGCTATTCATCATCTGTCTCGAGTGAGGATTGCATCAATGTGGGCCAAACAATATGGCCTGACCTGATTGTGGATGAAACATCACACCTGAGAGAACAGGCTGCCCAGGGGCACAGAGACAAACCTGTGTGTACAGAAATAAGAGCAAACAAGAATGTTTACAGGATCCTGATCGAATAATAAACACTCCTCCTCTTGTCTTGACCTGTTTGCATCAAGTTTGGATCAATAGGTATCTCAGGGTACGTGTTTCTTCCCTCAACTAACTATGTCATAAACACCAGCAGCATTCATACTGTGAATATCTAGTTTTTCCTGTGAGAACACGGACAGGAAGTCAAGCCAAAGGGACTCTGTACTCATTAGTGAAGATTAATGTAACGAGAACAACAAGAAGGCCCTGTACTAACAGTCAAACAAAACAAAATGCCAATGAGTTTCATTTTATTGAAGTGACTGTTATTTTGTATATATTGATTGTTTATTTTTCTTAATGTGTGCATATGTGTAAATGTGTCTGTTGATTGTGTATATAGGATATACATATTTTATACATATTTGTATACATATCTGTATATTGTATAATTTTATATTCGGGATTGTTGGAAACGTCATTTCAATCTCTCTGTCTGTAAACACAAACTGAGTAAGATTGACATTAAAGTTGACTTTGACTTGACTTTCAATCAGCATATTATAAAAGCATCATATCAGTATGTAGTGTCTCTACTTTAAAGAGTCCTCTCCTGCTGATGTTCAGGTGTATATCAGTATGTAGTGTCTCTACTTTAAAGAGTCCTCTCCTGCTGATGTTCAGGTGTATATCAGTATGTAGTGTCTCTACTTTAAAGAGTCCTCTCCTGCTGATGTTCAGGTGTATATCAGTATGTAGTGTCTCTACTTTAAAGAGTCCTCTCCTGCTGATGTTCAGGTGTATATCAGTATGTAGTGTCTCTACTGGGACATGTCTCCATGCTTTAATGTTCAAAAAGCTCTTTATTGTTCTCATAGCACCTCTTTTCACCCTCTGTCTGAAACCAGAGCCCAGTCTGCTCTGATTGGTTAGCTGGCCGGCTCTGTTGTGATTGGTCAACTGCTTAGAGATGTCCAGTACAATGTGATGGAGCGCTAGCCAATAGAAGTGTGAGTGTGACATAGTGATGTCACTATGTTACGGCAGTAATCAAAGGAGTCCTGGAGATGTTCCAGGGGGGGAGTGTGTGGGAGAGAAACTCCCTCTGGAGGGAACACAGGTATCCTTCGTAGACCATTTACATGCACAGAAACCTACAGTATAGAACACACTACAGGGAAGGGAAACCCCCAAAAAGCAGAATAGGGCTTCTTCAACATTTGTCTCTGATCCTTATAATCTTCTGTACCTTCAACATTTTGATAACTGTCAATTGGTTTATACAAATGGGTATGTCACATACAAACTGTTAAATGCTTCCGATCTACACACAAAACAAATGTATAACTAATTATCTTTGGAACTCAGAACGTAACTAGAACAGTTTTAATTTACAATGTAATTTATTTAATTAGTTGAAAAAATTAACGCTAATAGGAATGACTTGTTTTCCATAGGTTTATTTTTTTACCACAAACAGGTAAAGGCAGAACATGATGCACACACTGTGAGAAACCACAAATATTGTTGCTCTACTTAAAACACACATTCCTATTCTATAGTAAAAATCAACCAAATACACCATTAACAACAAAACAACACATAAGTGTTCATTCAAAAAGGTTGACTGAATCTGTCAAATCAGTACATTAACAACTTTACAAGGCACATACTGTGGCTCATACATACACACTGCGCCACAATAGTTATGGATGTATGGGATATACTGTATATCTCAAGGCCATTCATTATTGAACATGAGTCATTCTAAAATTACATTTCATACACAGCCTATGGAAACATATACTCCCTTCTCCTTATTCACAGTATTAGAAAACTGCACTTATGTGACTAAAAGGTAGTTTCATTATCAAGTCCCATGCTGGAAAAATGGTAGTTTAATTAGCTGCTTATATTGTGCTTTAGCACCAAAACAGACATCACAGTCACAGCTACACACTGTCCTCTCATACAATAAAACCTAATACAAGTCAAAAGTAAAGCACGTGTGTAAATGGAATGTTTTTAAACTCAAGAGTATAACAGTCAGCAGGTCTCTAAGTGCCTGAGTAATAAAGCAATAAGCCTGCAGATAGAACATAGTGACCTTAGAAAAGTTTATATATTTATATCTGGTAAGATGGCACAGATTGGTCCTTTTTCCAGCAATCATAATCAAATATATAATTCAAGGAGTACCTCTTAAAAAGGGTCATGCACAATGTACAATGATCTCAAAAGTTCATCCCATTATTTTAGCTTTACAGATTTGAACATTACAGATAGTTGGACTGAGTTTTGTATTCATTTTTAAGGCCAATAAAAAAAAAAGAAACACTTAGACTTAGACAATTTGGACATCACATTCGTATTACATTTAATTGAAGTAGTTATTGAAAGTCTACAGTATAATGTAAATGCAGGCAGAAAGGACTATAGAAGCTACTTTATCCTAGATCTGGCGAAAACAATTCTTAATAGATGCGAGCAGCACCATGTTACTGCCTGGCAAAATGATGGCCCGCCCGCTTTTCGGTGAAAATAAAGAATCAGCGCCAAGGGGATCAAATTGTTTTATCATGCCTAAAAGCTGTGTTGTGTATTGCAAGTCAAACAACAAAAAAGACAAACATTTCCGATTTTCTTTACTTTTACGTAGAGAAAATGGAGAGAATTAAGAGATCTGTGTGTTCAGGCCATCCAGAGAGAGGAATAAAATCCCAACCAATGGGAGCCAGTCGGTCAGTTTGTCTGTGTAAGGTTAACGTCAATCATCAAGGTGAACATTTGTAATGCTAAAAGTCAATGTATTACATGTAGAGCGCCAATCACAGACCTCCAATTACATTGTGTATGACTGACCATCATAATTGGGCACCTTGTAGATCTGAATTGCATATTATTGTTACATTTTTTTTATCTGAATGGCGAAGACCTCAGAATTTGTATTTACCGCCAGTCAATTGATAAAACAGATTTTTACCCAAAAAGGGGCGGGGCCATGATAAAGACGGAAAGTACCCGGATAGGTTGCTCTTATGTATACCTAAAATGAAGTAATAAAATAAACATTTTAAGTGAACTGTTAAATTATACATGTCAACAATTTGATTGCTCTGTCTGTGCTTAAAGAGAACAGAGAACAATCTCATTTTAAACCCTATTATTATTCTGAATGTGACAAGATGAAAAAAGAAATGTACATTAGGGGCACTGGACCTCCACTGTTACTATTTGCTCTCATGTGATGGACAGCACAGATTGCTGGTCCGGTGACAGGATATCATTATCTGGGCTGCTATTATCAGCAGAACACAACCTACACAACTGTTTCCTGAAGAGAGCCTGACCAGAGTCAGAGGTGAAAGCTGAACGGCTAAATCTGATTGGTCCAATGATTGAGGGGGCTTGTTTCTGCACGCTGTGATAATTAGAGAGGCAGAAACTCTGTCATCCAATGCCACAGCTTCGGACTGCTGCCTGCTCTTTGCTGAAACTGTCATGTGACTGCAAGGCAAACAGGAACACATCCTTTAAACTAGGAATGGGAAGAGGGGGGGGGGACACTGGCCTTAGATTAAGTTGTGAATCTAACATATGTTTTACCACATAAGAATCAAAAGGAAGGCAGAGAAAGTTGTTCTACAAAACAGTGCAAGGCTTCTTGTCCTTGAAAGGGTTTTCTGAGGTGGGGATGCCCATAAGCAGCGGGTCGTTCTTGGCATGTTCTCCACAGTAACGCATCAGGTCAGATGAAGCCTTGGACACCTGTGAAGAAATCAATCGACACACTGATTTACATTGACAGAGGTACGGTGGCCAACAGGTGCAAACGCGTTACAACAGCCCAACACACTTCTGTTTGTAGAAACACGTTGCATTTCAGTAAAGATACAAATACAAAAATAAACAAATGTGCCAAAACACATGTACATGAAGAAACATCTTCACCGACTTGACGAAGCATGCGCCTCATTTACTAAAAGCGCTGCATAAACAAAACGCTGCAAATACAAAATGCTGCAAGAAGCTCAAAACACATCCGAAACCAGGGGACAGTACAAAGTGATGCACACAACTGGAACAGGAAGGTTATAAAGTTGGCCGACTGTCTCTGTCATTGGAAACATATTTAAAATGTTAGGTTTATTGGCTTATTTTAACAATGGTATTGCATGATTCCTCCAATGTTATTGCAGATCTTGCAGATAGATAGCTAACATTTCTTTTTAGTTTTTGCACATTTGTGTTTGTATGTTTACATAGTTTATGAAAGTGCAGCACGTTTCTCCTAATCTAAGGGTGTTGGGCCGTTGTAGAGCATTTGCGTGGATCGGTCACATCGGTATAGGAGTAGAAGCAGAGTGGTGTGAAAGAATAGAAAGGCACCTTTATCCTCTCGAAGCTGGCCTCCATCCTCAGCTGCTGCACCACCCGCCTGGCCTGAGCCATGCTGCTGGAGCTCTGCATTCCTGAAGACATCGCAGCCTTTGGACAGCCGTGCTCAAACCTGGTTCAGAACAAAAACAAAATACATTTACTGTGTTACATTTATTGGTTTGGAGATGCTGTGAAAAGTGAAAGTGACAAATCCAGTGTTATAAATCTATTCCAAAGATTCCTGGCAACAAGTTCCTGTGGGATTAAAGAAGCACACAGGTCATGCTGCTGAGACTATCACTGCCTTTATACAAGTCACCAACATCATTTGAACCTATCAGCAACTAAGTTCACTTACTAACAAAAGACAAGATACTTAGATCGCTTTATCTTAAAAGCTGTTTGTTATCCGTCCCATTTTAAAAGTGCAAATGATTGCACCATACTATTTATTAAGCCGGATCTAGAATAATACTTTTTCTCACAGATTACATTGGTTTCTGAAATATCATATATTTATTATTTCTCACCAGTCTGCAAAGGGTGGAGGTTGAAGTGGATGGATGGGACAAAGGCACGGTTTGTGTCCTGTGTGAAACCAAAAATTCATGTCACATACCTTTTTAAAGACAAACCGATGTTTTATTTCTAAACCTAACCATGTAGTTAAGTATGTTTGTATACTAACATTAGCTATTTATCAAAAATAGCCAATCAGGTGTAGCCATGGCTGTTTAAAAATAACTGGACACAGGGCATGGGCATGGTCACTTAAGGTTTTCCGTAAGCTTCACCTCCAGGCTCAGTCAAATTAATAGATTGGAAAATAACTCTGCATTTGGCTGATTTTACAACTTTTAGACCCTAATGATTCAAATAAGGGCTATAGAAGTTCATATTGGGTAGTTTATTTTGCAACTTCAAAAATGATAAGCTGATTTACAGACGCCCCATTCCCAATGTAAAAAGTATTTTTGGACCCAAATGCAACCCGGCAAGGCCGTAACTACATTGGGGGGGACCACAAATTCAATCAACATTTGAATACTAATTTCCTGCCATTCTAAAGGAAAATATATAAAAATTCACTAACACATGGGATACTTTAAAACCTTGGGGCAAAAAACAACAATATTCACGAAACTGTGTCTCAGGCATGGGCGTAGGAAGCATCCACAATGTGGGTGGGACAATTTGACGGGGGGTGTGGGCAGGTGGAGGACCTAACCTCCTCTGGGGGGGTCTGGGGGCATGCTCCCATTTTTAAATGTTGAAGTTAAAAGCATCAATCTGGTGCACTTTGAGAGCAACATGAAGAGATCTATGGATACAACTCTCAACACCCATATGAAACAGAACTGTAAACAGATTTACTTTTTTTTTATGGATATTTTACAAATCACTCCCCTCGCTACTATTCCTGAAAAGTTCGGTTTTAACATCAGAACTACAAGTTATTTACACAAAGAAGCTAAACCGGAGGGTTCATTAACATTACCATTACGAAATAAAATAATATAGATTAGTTTAGGGCTAACTAGAAAAAGATACCAGAACTGATGGAGGGCAAATTAAAACTGACCTGCTTGGAGCATCAACGCTAACTGAAGCTGGACTCGGACGTGCGACAGCGAAATACACCCCCCGGGTACAAAATAAAGGTATGCATAACAAACAAAGGCGGAACCAATTTACATGTGAAAAAAAAAAAATCATTTTGGAGAAGTTCATAATAACAGAAAATAAAGATTTTCAAGTATACAAACAGCCAAAATAAAAAAGTCATAGTCATTTTTTTTTTTTATATCAGTTAGGCTATATATTGGGGGGGACATTTTGAGCATATCTGAATATTGGGGGGGATGTCCCCCCCCCCCAATGTATATGGTGAATTCGGCCCTGCAACCCGGACTGGAACGGAAGAGTTGTCCCTGTGTGGGACATCGATGTCCGTACTAAATGTTGTGCAAGCTGGTGATGCTACAGAAAACTTCAGCTCCTGCTATTATACCATTTATCCTCTGGGCACCTCGAATGTCTTTACAAAGCTTCAAGGAAATCCATGTTATATTTGTTAGACATTTCATTTCTTAAAAATGGGGGAAAGACTGATGGACTGATATCACCATCCCTGGAACAATTACACAAATCAAAGCTTGATTTCAAGGACGAGCTTTGCACAATGTTGCAGAAATGATGATAAATGAGGTTACTAAGATGTTACTGCACACATCCACGGCTGTGCAACTTCCCAGGAGTGACAGTTGATTTAATCTAGAATTGAGTCAATGTGCGTAAACGCTGTGGCCCAACCTAACCGAATCCTGTTTCACAATTCCCACTTCCAGGATACAATGGTTTGCTTTTACTGGCTCATTACATCACTCCCTGAGTTACTTTGAGTGTCTGCACTGTTGTAACGTTCTACCTTCCAGTCCAGCCAACTGCAGTGCAGAGCAAAGGGGAAGCAGGCGAAACAAAATGTGTCTTTACTGTTTACTGCAAAAACGTTAATTATTTGAAGAAAAGAAGAACATTGTGTGTCCAATTTTGAGAACACATTGTGTGCAGTTTAGCAATAAAGGAGATGTTCTCTGTGTACTCAACAATTGTTCAGCCCTGATAACTTGCAGCCCTTGTTCCTGGAATGAATAAAGAACACACGGCAGTAAATGGCTCTGTGGGACTGACGGACATAATATTTGACATGTGGCCTGTTTGCTCTGTGCAGGATATTACAGAGGAGGGGGACACGCTGAAATGGAAGGCAGATGAAATATGGACAACAGAACCAGATACAGAGGGGAGACGAGGCCGTGCACCCCTCTAATCCCCCCACGCCCCCCTCCCCCACCCACTCCCTTCCGCTTCCTACACAGGAAGCAGTATAGCCAGTTCCCCTCTACAGTATACATGATTAAATATGGGGTGGGGTCTTCACAAAAGGAAGCTTCATGTACACACACATGCTATGGGAGTAACGGATTACAAGTAATGGGATAACGTAATCACGATGCAAAAAAAGGTAACTGTAATCCCTTCCAGTTACATCAAAAATCTGATTACTGTTACATTTCTGAAAAAAAATGGGATCACTATCAGGATTACAGTGTTACTAAAACCTAAAAAGATCTGAATCTGCTTTATGGTTTTCACTTTCTTTGCTTCTTTTGTTCTGTTTTTAATTCAGCAGGTGAACCTATGTTCATAAAATAGTGTGTGTGAGCTGAACTGTGTGTATTAAACTAAAACGGAGCATTTTATGTCAGTTCAGATTTTATTTCTGCTTTTTTAAACTGTAGTATGTGCTCATGTGATTCAGTGTTGGTGTGTAGGCTGCTGCCTGAATATGCTTCATTCATAAACAAAATCATTTTTGATCCTAGATATCTTGGTCTCTTCTTTTTCTAGGGTCATTGTATTCATTTTAATTTTGTCTTGTATTCATTCACATTGCATTTGATATTGTTGTAATGGAAAGTAACAGAAAGTACATTAGGTAACGGCTTACCTTTTTTAAGTAACCCCCCCAACCCTGTACACACACAATGCATAGCTGCAGAGAGAGAGCATGACATTGAGACCTCAGCTGCACTTTCTGCAGACTGCTCGACAGAAACTGCTCTGGTCTCTTGACCCGTCCTCTCATTGTTCCAGAACACTCCATGTCGTGGCTCTCTTGTCAACACAGCTGTAGTATTTAAGTCCTCAGCTGCACCCGCAAGGCATGAGTGGACACAGAAGGGAGGGCTGCGTCACAGCGTCTGCAGGGACGGTGTGTGACGCCAGAGGCTTCTATAGAGCTCCATACATTGCGTAACTAGCTGTAAAAGACGTCAACACGGCTAAGTGATTTAAAGGCGGCACTAACGCACAGTAGAACAGGACAGCACTTGATCCGAGCTGTTACACACTCCTCTTTTATGTTTGAATAGTGGAAAGATACATTTCATAGATACACATGAAATCACTGTCTTTCATTTATGTGTCCTTCTTCTGAACTCTCTTCAACATCTTGTCACACTGCTTGCCTAAACACTATCTATGCTTTTTATCTGGCTCTAAATGATTTTCATCACCATGCAATGTGAACAATGTCCTTTTGTAACTGGATCATAAAAGCTGCATTGTACTGTAAAAAGTGAGATTTCTATGTCTTATTTAATAATGGAGCAGGTCTATGTGCTACCGGCAGTGTTGGAAAGTACATTTACTCAAGTACTGTTCTCAAGTATAATTTAGAAGTAGTATTATTTACTTGAGTATTTCAGTTTTCTGCCACTTTATATTTCTACTCCACTACATATTGTACTTTTGACTCCATAACATTCATTTCAAATTCATAGTTACTTACTTTGAACATAAATAGCATTAAGTGTTTAAATGATAAATATAAATACTACTAATCTACTCAGTAGTACACCAAGTGTCCAAAAGTTAATTAAAATATCAAAAATGTATTTATTACAACCAAAAAACTAATAATAATACTCTCTAATAATACAAACTTTTAAAACAGCCCCTCTGCACAATAAGTACTTTTACTTTTTATACTTACGTGCTGATAATACCTCTGTACTTTCATTAAAGTAACATTTTAAACGTATAACTTTGCAATAGGGTATATTTAAACTGTGGTATTACTACTTTAACTTAGTAAAGAATTTGAGCACTCCTTCCATCACTGGCTACTGGTTGAGTATGAAAATGCTGAACCCACGGAAAAATGCACAAAGCCCAGAAACTGTTCCTTTAGACAAGCCGCCAAAACTTCCATAATTTTAACTTCCTGTGATGTCATCATTTTACTTGAAATGTGTTGCATGACGCTACAGAAATGCAGAAAGCACAAATGCAGAAGAACCAGAAACACTGACCAATCAGAGGAGACTGGAGTTTTTTCAGATACGGCAATATTGACACGATATGAGCAAAATTATGTTTAAATCAAAGCATGTAAACAGTAGAAACACACACAACAGGATTGAACCTGAAGATGAGTAATACTGATATAATTTCAGTATGATATTATATCATGTTGCAACTTTGGCTTAAGATAATGTGAGAAAATGGGTAAGAAAGATAACAACAACATTTGATTTGATCCATAGAAATAAACCTGTCACAGCATATTCCACCAGTAGTCACAGATTCAGGGACTCACGTTGGAGATTTATTTCTTGGTGCCTGAGGGGCCAGATGTGGCATGTGGCTAGAACACACACTTGCATCAGCATTAGTTCAGCCTCCTGTTGTGCCACACACAGACTCTGCTGTGCAGCTCTTCTGAAGGAGCGGTGTGATCAAGTGGGGCCCTAAACCTCAAATGTGCTGAATTTCAAATAATCCTGTTTCTGGGCAGTGTGCTGGGCAGCTTTACTGTAACTCTGCTGCTTCGGACGGATTAAAACATTCCCACAGACTATATCTCGATCTAAAGAATCCTGCAGGGATGAGGTATTTTAACAACCCCAGTTAGCATCATGCCAGCTCCCTTGTCAAAAAGCCAATGGGATTTTTCCATTGGACTTTGGAATACTGCAGAAAATGGGATCCATGGCAAACAAACGTTTGTGCTACTTCCTGAA